TATTTAATATACACCATGTAACATAGCCCTACATAATGAATATAGGTTTTAATATGTAACTGTGTACTATACAACGCTGCATTGAAAAATACATACAAGTAGAAAGCAGATGTGTCCATTAATGCTATTGGATCTATTTTCATTGTGTGTTTATACAGCATAACATGTTTTTACTCATTTATTGCCATGCTCGTGTGCTTTGTGTGTGAGCTTTATATTTTCTAATGGTTATTCGATCCTTGTTTGGGCTGTAAGGATGTTTGTGGCAACCATACTTTCATATTCAGTCTCTGGTGTATGAACTGTAGTGAACATGGGGCCACATTTATCGCCCTCTTCCATTGCATCATTGTGACATGGCACAGCTTGTAAATACTGTAGATACTGTGCGTGTTTGAATAGCACGTGTATGCAGCAGCATGTCACTACCTATACTACTGTTTCTGTATCTAGTATCTTGGCTATTTGGTTTAAGTAAGGTACATCCACATCTCTTGTCGTTTATGTTTCAGTTTTGCCCATCGCATTTCCATTTTAGTCGTTCGATTTTGCTTCTTAAAAGAGAGCTTCGTCTTCATTTTAGAATCATCTGTATACATTGTTATACCATCATGAGAAATCATGGCCTTCTATTAGCTTCACAATAGTCTATTTCTGGTTGAAGAGAGAGAGAGAGATATGATGAGTATCAGAATGTTGTTACACTTGATACTCATCGTATCCCATTCCATGCAAAGGACATATCCATTGTATGAAAGGAACTGTGACGAGTATTAGAATGGATACATTGGTAAAATAACAAAATTATTTATTGATTTGTTCTGAACCGAGCTGTAAAGTTAACGTCATTTCTCATATCACCTCAACGTGTATCCATCCATCCTCATAGGGTGCCATATGGCATTACATGACATGCCTTAAAAAAACAATAAATCGATCCCTTTTTCAATTTTCCTTCGACTCACCTGTAGATTTGGTCATCCCTCAGTTACACCATCTAGTCTAATTGCATCCTGCATCAATCCTATGTGGAACTGACTCTGCTTGTGTGGTTAAGCCTGTGGGACTTTAGGGTGTTCAAATTTCAAGTTAAAATGCAAAGTAAATCCAAATGTCAACTTTAGTGTACAATCCATTAGCGTCTCATATTGAACTGAGTCACGCGAATTAATGCACCTTTAATATTACACCCAAATGCTTTATATACCACGACTTGTTGTATTTCATATATTTAATGTAAACTTGTAAATGCTTCGATGGTTTTCTGAGCCAACAAATGCGCTTAAAATGTAGCTTTCCATTTATTCTTATATTCACGCATGTTGTTTTTCACGTGAGGCTTGGGCAAGTCTGCCAAGTGTGATATACCCCTGGATCTCTTGGTCTTAATTCACATTTACATTGCCCTTGTTATCCACATTCCTTTTATATGGTATATTCCTTTGTCATATTTTGGATTATTTTACAATAACAATTCAATTCTGTTTCGAGCTCATACAGTATATTATAATAACATATAAAATATGATAAAAATCACAAAAGGTGTTCTTTACATTTCACAGATCATAAGAACAGCTTATCACGCAGAGTCAGATATTATTTTTGATTATACACCAGCTCATCTCTGTATTATCCGTGATGTGTGTGCAATAGCAATTTATCATTTACATCATATAATATAACATTGATATAACATCCCTGCTAAAGCTAGCGCAATATAATGGAGGTGTATCGTATTAACTATATATATTATATATATGATAATGTGTGTGTGCATTGCTATTGCTAAGTAAGTAACGTCGTACGTCGTGTATATATTTCCGCTCCATACTTTCTCATTCTCCTGTCTCCTATCTCGAGCCTACTCTTGTCTGTCTTATTACATTGTTCTCTTTTCCTACTTCACGGATCTATGTATTCCCTTGTTTAAAACTTCAATCCTTTATATCTGGCGTTTTATGATTACGCATCATTTTTGTCAAAACATGGCGTTGTTTTATTTCGTTTATCAGCGTATAATAAATTTCATTCCTTCGTAAATCCGCATATTTCGACTCTTATTCTACATTGTTTAGTATAACTACGGCATCGTGACATTGCATATATATCTAAGGATACTGCATCCATTATCACTGGTGTAATACAATAAGCCATTCGGACTAAATCCTAACTGATATGCCGTACACCATACGTACTGATTGATATACAGAGAATAGATAAGTTGCATATATAATTATGTAGTCGGTTAATTGCCCAGGGAGTAACAATTTATCAATTAATGACCCTCTATTGTATTAAGGTAAGTCAATAAATGAAGACTGTGTGATTCTGTTTGTTAGAAACAGCGAAAGCCAATCGGTTTTGCCAGTTTCGTTCGATGCCTTATAAACGCCTAACCATCGATAACGTACAGTGCCAAAATACGCCGTCGTACACTTTAGATGTACGGTGTCACTATTAACCGATGTGAAGCAAAGACAATGATGTAGATTTGATGTAGGTTTTTAAAAAAATATCTGAGGAATACATTAAGCATGTACATTAACGCTTTCATGTTTGATTTCGCGTGTATTCGTTTAGGAAGACATTTAACTTTCTAGTAACGTTAAAAGTTTTCGAACAGTGCTCGATTTTTTGTGTTTAATCTAAATTGTGTAGTTTAGAGAAACATTTTCTCATAAAAATATTCGACACTCTTAGACGACAGGCAAGCAAATGATCAAAGGAAATCATGTAAAAATCAACGTTGTCCAACCGACCAATTATAGATTGACCCCGAAAAAATCAACTACTGTTCGAAAATGTTTTAACGTTATTAGAAAGTTAATTAAATGTCTTCTTAACGATTACAGACGAAATCAAACATGAAATCTTTAATATATTCCTCAGATATATTATTGTCTTTGCGGTAAAATCGTATCGGTCAGTAGTGATACCGTACATCTAAAGTGTACGACGGTATATTTTGTCACTGTACGTTGTTGATGGTTAGGCGTGTAATAGTGACAAAACAAGATAGCATCATGCAGTAATCAGAAGTCATCCATACCAGAGGCTATCCTACTGTGGCTACAGTAGTAAATGAAGTTCATTCATTTTTAAGTATCGAAATCAAATTATTGGAAAAGGTAAACAGATATTACTGTATCAGAATTGGTTCAATACACAATAAGGTAGTCTCATAAGACCTATGATAACCCTTTCTAATATTTTATTTTGCTTCTTTTAAACAGTACTTCATCTCCCTTTTATGATTTATCAGAGCTCAATGTAAAGCTTATGAGATGTATACATAGAGATGGTGAATCCCAAACGTCATTTTCCTGATGTACTGGATCCTAATACTCGGGGTAGAGACCATTAATCGATAGTGAAACTTGATGGTAAATAAAATATTCTCTGGCAAACAATGCAGTCTTTGGAGAGCTATTAACTGTCTGTAATATATTTGAGAAACAATGTGAGAGTTGTTTTCGTATTTGGAAAAGAAGTAAAGCAATTAGTTAAACTAGTATTAAAACCTTTCATAACGTGGTCAAGGATTTAAGTTTGATTGTTTCGTTCAAGGTTTCAGTTGCTCCAGCTCCAGTTACAATAATCCCCTTGGAAATGTACATCGTATGTGTTATTTAAAGAATAAATGGATGAAGCAGTACTTGATAACCCTATCAGTCAATAATCCATTCTGATGATATATCAGAGACCTTCTTTATCTAACGCTTGTGACAGAATGCTTTCTTGTTCTTTCTTGTTCCTTTTCAGTTGAGGCTGTGGCACCCATACTGTCGATAATCCATTTACAGGCTACGTCAGATGTCTCTAACATGTGATAGGCCTTTGAAGTAAACAATGCACTTATATCCAGGACACCATCTTTTAAGCTAATCAGTGAGTCAATTTTCAATTTTTGCTTAGGCCTACAGACAGTCAATGTCCATTTGTCCAAATATCTGACACTTATAAATATCATATGGATAATATGGAAGCACAAGTGCTAAAAGAAAGACAAATATATATCAAGAGACATAGTTTGCTAAAAGCCATCGGAACGTAACCAGTCATAAGAAAAATTTATCCCTAATCTACTCAGATCCAGCACTCAAAAAAACATTCAACATCAAATCTGCGAGACATGCAAAATCCACTTTGAAGTCCTTAAGAGTACCAAAAGGTTCACCCCTCCCCTTCACAAACCTACCACCAAAGCTCATAAAACAAAATAATTTAAAGAAACATTGATGTACAGATAAAGGACAATAGGGAAGATTCCTAGTCTTGCTTAAAAGACCCTGTACTCCCCCCCCCCCTTATCCTTCTCTGTATATTGCAGGTAAAGAGAGTGAAGGTAACGGGGGGGATACAGTCTTTGAGCAAGACTAGGAAGAACCCCTATAAACCATAACAATCGTAATTATTTTCCCCTGGTTTACTTTGATGTAAATAACCCGATTCATAAGTAAGTTGCCAGTGCAAATTTGACTTTCATTATAGCGTTATCAATCTATAACCATATGGTATTTCATTAACCAAAATGACTCGGCGTTAATGGAGTTAATCTGAGACAATATCAATTCCATTTTAATCTAAAGCTGTTGTAAACATATAAAACAGTAAAATGAGGTAACTTGGGCACAAGAATAGTTCTCTATCTCTCAAACATTTCTAGGTTTAGTTTCTACAAAGCCTTAATCAAATATAAAGGTATTTAGATATTTCGTTAGATTTGTTTGGCATATACTCCCATTTTTGTTTAGTGTCGCGTTTGTGTAAACTAAATGAAAATACAGGTATTTACCCAATTTAGAATAAATGCAAATAAAAGTTACTCTATCGGGTATTAATCTTTGTCCAAACAGCAAACATTAGAAAGTATACGTAGACCACCTTGTATTGATATTTAGTCCTGTGTACAAAAAGATTTTTGGAAATCGTTGGCTTTCCATCATAAGGACTGCCAGGCTAATTGAAAATAAAAACATTTACGTATTCCCAATACTTACTTGATTGTTCACTGGAGGTCCATCTCCCATGAAACCTCGAAGTCTCATCTGTTTGTCTATACTCGTATTAGATCCCCTTTTGCCGCCATAATCACTGCTAAATCCCCCTGAATCTGAATCAGACGACATATCGTCTGCGTGTTCTCTATAATGTGCCTCTGTATCACTTGCCGATTTTTGGTTGAAATATGGAACGTTTTTAGAATACGTTGATGTAATGTTCTGATTGTAAGCTTTTCTGGTGTGATTGTTCATTTTTTCCAGTTTGTGATTGGCATCATTGACAATGTGTTTTATTTCCTTATTGTTTGTCGCTCTTTTATCTCCTTCTCTTAAATATTGGCCATTCACCAATTGCGTTTTTAACTCCCGGTGATTTGAATTTATAGCGATATCAGAAGAGCTGTGTTTTGAACATTGTGGTGGGTTACTTTCTGTGAGAGGGGTCTGTTCTAATGAGGAGCTGGTTGTTTTGTCTAACGATACTTTGGTTTTCGTTTTATCTCTATCTCGATCACTTTTGGCTTTTGCTTTGTAATATCCAGTGTAAAGATCTATCGGTTCTGACTCTAGATGTAGGTCTCCATCAAATGTCAATGTATTGTTATTGCTTTCTGTTTCATTTATTGAAGCGTCATTGTTTGAGGTTTCACTTAATTTTCCCTGTTTATCAGTTGCAGTGTTACGGCAATATTGGCTTTCATGATATTTCATGTCTGGTGCGATTTGGCCAATTTGATCCTTCATCTCTGGAGTCATGGTCGTGTCAGCGTTAGCATAATCACGAACAGTTACTTTGGTAGTTTCACCATAACTTTGTTTGTGTTTCGTGTTGTGGCTTGTAGGATCTTGGACGACGACACTGTCGTATCTACTAAGGTCAGTCTGTCCAGATTTAGGAGCAATGGCTCTAATTCTTTGCGTGGGAGTAAAATCCGAATGTATCTTGTGTCTCCGATGATCATTTTGTTGATAAATACTGCTACTTGATGCAGACCTCGATGGCCGCTCCCCGAATGATCCAAGTTGGCCATGTTTAGCAATGTGATAATCTTCCATTGGCGCCCGATTATCATCATGCACACTTCGACTTCGTCTATCTGTCTCACCCCGTTGACTTCTCCTTTGATAAGACCTGTAGCGGTCACGTGTATTGTTGTCGTAGTCACGTGATGATCTGGACTCGTCGCTGTTGTAGCCGTTTCTTCGTTGGTGTTCGTATGCCTGGCTACTATAACCGCTACTGGTAGTTCCATTTGTATCCGACCCCTGATGGTCGAAACTCCCTTGGTGTCTCTGGTAGGCTGTTACCTCGCTCCTGTTGGTATGGACCTCATAGTTTGTGTCATAGCTTGTATCGCGTTTGTCATGTCTTTTAGGGGTTTGAATCGACCTTGAATCACTTTGATAACTGTTGTAAACTGTTTTTGAGATTGGGTTGTCATGTCTAGTTGGATGTGATGCTTCAATGCCATGATCTGTCTTATAGGTTGCTGTATTGCTGTGTAAGCGCATATCATTTCTTTCACACCTATCATACCTTCTCGAGGTAGATCTTCTATGTGTATCGTCGAAGGCATGACTGGAAATATTAGAGTCAGAATCTGCATAATGTTTATCCCCAGTTCCACGTCTTCCTAAAGTCTGTTTCCGTTGTTCTTTTGTGTCTTTAGATTCGTAAGATGTATTACTATCAGATCTTACAGGAAATTGTGTGAATTGTTCTTCTCGATAGAAGCGTTCATCGGCCAGTCTTCGACCGTTTGTGTCGACCCGTTTGCCATAGCCATCAACACTATGACTTCGCTGTTGATACGTTGTGGGTACGTGAACTCTTCTGTGTTTATGACTTTGCCTTTGTGATTTTGAATCGTCTGAATCATTGACGTATATTATCCTTTCCCTGAGGTAGTGCTTTTTGGTGTCTAATTTACCCTTATCACCATACAAACTACTTTGGTCACTGTAGTAACTATTTATATCGCTGAAACTTGTACTTGACCTGTCGCTAAGGTAACCATCATTACTATATTGGTCGTTCTGTTCTAATTTACCAGTGCTCATTTTTCGATTGTATCTTTCGACAAGGGGATGGTATATACCCTTTTGTGTTGTGAGTGGAGGCCCACCGAATTTAATACTTTGTTTCCTTTCAAGTGCTTGCCCATGGTCGACATCATTTCGACTTGACTCTGGGGGACTTTTGCTGTATACATGCACTGGTCTACCTATTTTTTCATCATAATACACTCGGACTTTCCCTGTGTTTAAAACCTCATGTACTTCTGGAGTCTCCTTGTTATCTCTCATAGAGCGCGTCTCTTCTCCTATTACTTGTTCGAAGTCTCTAAACACCTGTCCCTCCATAGTCAGTCTCTTCTGAAAGATTTCCTAGTTAACGTTTCGATTAGTTTTTTTGCTTGTTTAAAAGAAAGCCTAATTTAATTCACTAGTTTTTGACACATTGTCATCCTTAGTTTAGAGTTAAATCTATGTCGTGAATTCTATAACTAATCCTGTTAGCTCATTATCATGATTATAAAGTACTAGTTTGGGAACGTGTAGCTTAGAACCGTCTTTAACTGTTTCATTATCAGATTTATGATGGGGTTCATCATATACGCCCTTGAACTCATTGTCTGTCATAGTATCCTTCTGCCATTCCGTTGTTAGTCGAGTTATATGCAGAAGAAAAACATTCCATTTGTGTCTTAGTCCAACAGTGACTACCAGTCTTCTAGCATTTAATCCATTGTACAGTCTCTATGATTAAAACTCTGAGCCGAGGGTTTACTTAACTTTATGATAATAGTGTTACCCGAGCTGTAACAACAGGTCAGGCCCTCCATTCGGATCAAGGACAATGCCAGGTATTTCAATGTGATAAAGTTTAGTTATTCATAAGTTTGTCCCTTACGTGTTTCGTCTTTAATGTCACAAACTGTAGTTTGTGTAGTTTGAAACTCGTGCACGTGTTAGCTTAAGGATTATATGTGTTTATCAATTTACTGATGAGATTTGTATTAAGCGTTTTCTATTTCCTAATCTGGAAGTGATCGTTTTATAATTTGTATTCATGTAACATGATTCTAACTGGATCAAGGTTCCGAGTCTCAAGGTGTTAGTATACAGTGAAGAATTTATAAATTCCCCTGCAAACTAATTATTCTTCAAGGTGATAAATATGTAGTAACTTCAATTGCTCATGTACATCCAAAATGAGTGAAATGCCATTAGTCTTTTCTCCTGAATTGCGTCAATATTGAAATCCATTTTAAACAGTCTCCGGGTCACTTGGGTGTTGCTGTTAATGCTCTTTTGAATTTCTTTCAAGTTTCTATCTCGTAATTGTTTGACTTCTAAATGCCTACAGTGGAGTATGGTGTCTTGTTCAAAGGTAGAGGGTTGTAAGGTCGGCCTCAAATCCAATACATAAAGGCAAGAGACAATTACAAACGTTTACCTTCTTTTAGGCATTAAGTCTTTACATTTCGCATTCCTTTATTATGGTGCGTCAATAAACAACAATACTTTCTGATATCGATTTGCGGTTGTAAACATTCTTTTGAAATTTTGCAGATTTTCTTTCAATTGCGCTTTGTAAATTTGAACGCTATGAAGAAGACTTTTTTCGACTTCTTCAACTGCACTCAGTTTTTTTCTAAAATAAACGTTATGGTAACCTGCCTAGTTTAGAGGTCAATTTTACCTGTTTGGTTATTGAAAATAATCTGAAGGATCACGAAAATGTTCATAACAACTTAAAACTAGAAATCGAAACCAGTGGTGACATAACTGCAATCAGCGTCTACATTTTTAAGTTATGTACTCTTTACTCATTCTTTCCAAAAGTTTAATTTTAATTTGCTTCTTTGAAAGAGAGGTCCGTCCTATATGCCCTAGACTCTGTCACTCAGTCCCCCCGCCCCATGGTGGGCACCGGAAAAACGGTGGGCCCAAAAAGCTTTTAGGACAATATGTTGAACTCTCTATATATGTACAGTAGATAGGCTAAAGCCCAACAACATCAAACATGATATAGTTATAGTATGCCCATGCCCTTCTCGTATTATTTTAATAAGCAGAAGCAAAACAGATAATTTAAGTGGCTTTGGTACAGTAAGTTATCCAACTCTCATCATATAGATGCATCATACACTAGAGTACGTGTTTTTGGAGCAAGCGTTTTTAGTTTAATAATAAATTGACATATTTGCCTAAAAATATTAACCTCATTATTACGAAATGAATAGAGAAACTGTCAAAGCCATCTTACGAAGCTGTTTCCACGAACGATTACATTTTAATACGCGTCAGATCAGAAATATGAAACCTTGATGATATATGACCTTTTAAAATACTTTTTCATGGGGACTAAATTACTGACATCTTTTTACAGATAAATACCTTATTCTCATTTAGGCGGTCTGTAGTATTCCAAAGCAAATAATGTACAAGTAACAGAAATGTTACAAGTACAATATCAGTGTATAGATGATTTTTCATTTTTTTGTTTGGTCCATACATGTAGGCCTATTTCCATATGATTATTGAGGTCATCAAAGATTCTATTCGTGTTTAGACTGATTGCAGACTTACTGACTTACCTTTCGCGTCATCGTGGATTTTGTATATCTGAATTCGTTATCCTTTCTCTATTGTTATCTCCTTATCTCCATCTTTTATTTTGTAATGTAATGTGGATACAGATGCAACATTGCCGTATTGTGACCGTCAATTGTGTTTTAGCACCCGTTTCATCCATAGTTCATCCCACATCATCCATGATTTATGTGTTCAAGGTCATCCTCGGTTTCTTCCAGGAAAATGTTGATTTTTCTGGTCGTAATGTATCTCGGAATACACTAGATAGTATATCAGATATAAATGGAATAGTTCATCAACTTCTATTATTCATATCGGGCTATTTATGCAACGGACGCATTTGCTCTTGTTAATAATCCAGGCTCCGGGAAAGAAAAGAGCAAGCAGTCGATCAGATTTGACTTTAATATTTCATGACCAGTCTTTAAATGTCTAAGTGTGATCTCTAAGTTAGCCTAGGTAGCCATACAAACAGTGTTGACAAACACACTTTAAATAGCTGTCTGTCATCTCTACCCGAGTAAACAATACCTATATTTCAATAAATATATGTGTAAACAACGATTTTTTTAATTATTTTAATTTAATTTGTTGAGAACATCCTTTTGTACCTGGTAAGTCTCAATTATTCCATTTTATGTTTAAAACTGTTCTCCCCATGTTTAACTAGAATGTGCCATTAAACACGGGTCCACAAGTAGCCTAGTTAAATTAAGTCAATAATTTAACAGAGGGTGGGCACAGGGTCGTGTTATATGGTGACACGAGTAACCCAATAGTAAGCTTGTTCTAACAAATTTACACATACGAAAGTAAGCAAACAGCTTAAAACAGTTCAATATTTAGTTAAATTCTCAAATCTGGATTTTGTATTTAAACTAAGTATGATCTTCTTAAATGTATGACTTTCTCTTCCGATGAATTTCAATTGCCTTGTAATGAAATTATATTTACTATGCTGTGAACTTGTAATACTGTCGATAATAAGACCATATAACCATGTATACTGGGCCCATTTATGGACAATAATCTGGTATATTATTGGTCATTTAACTTAACATAAGATTTTTTTCTTGAAGGCTTTCTATTATTCTTCCCTTGTATTCCCAAAAACTCAGAAACAATTGATCAACAAAACACAAAATCTGACTTAATTACTGTTTTGAGAACCGTAGATGCATTGGGATCTCGTCAATTTTATATAACCATTCTGATATATGTATTAGTACTTTCATGAACAGACCTAATTAAAAATAAAACAGTTTTTTAGTTTCTACATATATTTCTTCACTCTCTTCACTCATATTTATAGGTTTTACTTTAATAATGCAATGTAAAAGAAGCAAATTCTACAAAAACATAGAATATTCTATATGCATGTAAAAAAGGAAAATTCTGTATATAAATGTAAATAAATAATCTGAAGTTGCATCTATTTAGAAAATGCATTAGTAGATGATAAACACAATATTGCAATATATGTGGGCCTATATGTGAAATAAATCTTGTTTAGTTATAAAATCTGCTTGTTCCAAACATGTTAAGTTCTACTGTACAGTTTACATGTTCATATCCACAATACAACAGTATTTTCCTTTGTAAGTAGTTTGCAATTGACTATATGCACATCTAAAGAACTACATCGACTCTTTCAATGGATAATACAGTGAAACATGCATAACCGAACACCTCTCAAGGTGAACACTTTTTTGGCCCCAAACCGACTCACATATTTTAAAAACCTTAACATGTGAACACCTGCTAATCCGAACACTTTTGGCTGCGACACGTGGCAAGACAGGTTTTACTGGATTTTTTTAATTAGACCTTTTCAATCAAAATTAGAATTGAGAAATTACGGTTTTTATGCAGAATTCAATGAATACACATATGCTAAATAATTAATGTACTCATTAGGGACAGAGATTTACGTATACAAGAGACAGGTTTTACTGAATTTACATTTAAAACTATACAGTAAAACTTGTGTACAGTGAACACAATATGAAGCTGCAAAATCCGTTCAATTTAGGAAGGTGTTTATTACAGAAAGGGCAGTTTATACAAAGTCGGTATTGGGACATGTGTTCACTAGAGAGAGGTGTTCACTAAGTCGAGTTTTACTGTAAATATATAGTTGATGCTTCAATAAACCAGTTTTAATATAACTCATCACAGTGATCTCCACAGGATTTTTTCTCAAGTGGGTGCAAAATCCTCATTTTCACAATTCAGACCAACATTGGTCAAAATATGCCAATTTTTCATTATTTTTCTCATTTTGAAGTGGGTGCAAATGGATTTTCAGGTGGGTGCAAGCCTATTTTCAAGATCTCAGGTGGGTGCTGCGCCCACTTGCTTTAATGCTTTAGAGACCACTGCATCATAATGCTTATTGCATAGATATAATATTCTTCAAACATCCTCAACATGTAAAAATACATGTCATACTAAACTCTGATATACAGATATGTAATGCAATGTTACTTGGTCATGATTCTTTTGAAATCTTTATGCATACATATTGGTCCTTTAGTCTTTCTTAGTCTTTTATCAGGTCCCTTGTAGTCTTGCTTTAAGCCCCTGAGATCCCCCTACAGACCTCATATAAGGTGAACTAGATAGAAGTATGATCCAAAGACTTTATGCAAGAATTGTGCGCCATGATTTAAGACAAGACTTGTTCTCTTAGTAAGATACTACACTAAATATATGTTCTCTATGAATGGATACATTTGGAAGACGCATACACACTGTACATTGTAGGTATTCTCGACTAGGCTTTTATGTTTGCCCTGGATATGGTCCAATTTCTAATCTTTCTTCAACCATGATTCTGCAATTGAAAACAAAATATATATTCAGCAGTGTTACGAATAAAGGGGTATGCACATTGTTGTATGCATATACTGTATGTGTTTTAGGATTGGAACAACTCGTACCAAATATTCTCTAAATCCAGGAGATAAGTAAAAATAAGTTGATAGACTATGATAAAGATATTTTATGAAAGCAGGGAACAAAATAATTCAAATCTCTGGGCATGTGCAGTTAACTCTCAATGTACATTCAAATATCACAAATATCATTTTTGCAATTCAAATATTGACTCAAACCTATTTACTTAAGAGTATCTTTGACCATTTGTTTCAACCCTAACATCTCAAACTGAACAATATAATCACAAAATAGAGAGATGGGTATTGAACTCAAAATAAAATAAATTATTTAACGTGAATCAAACAAAAACATGATTTTTCGTCAAATAAATTCCACTGAAGAAAATATTCCCCGCATTAGGTGAAGTGCTTTGTCTTATTGATAGTCTTCTTGCCCATTTCAATTTTCTGGTAGACTTAAAAAACACCATAAATTGACTTGCTCTACCCCACTTCTGCCTAAGAACCAAAGTTTTACCTGGTACAGGTAGAGTGTTCAACTGCTCGGGTGTCTCCAGATTGTCTACATTGGCATGTTGGAAATTCTTGGCCTCTGGTGAACTAAGGTGCCTACAATGTCAAATATTATAATGAAAAAATCTTTTCATTATCTTAATTAATTTTCATATAATTCAATATGCATATAAAACTACTTTTCTGTAAAAATACTTGAATATACTGCAATGAATCCTTCACAAAATATTGCCAATTTTAAAGCAAATTTAAATACAGAATCGGAACTATGTAAATGACCAACCTTTTGAAAATATTTCAATTTAGAATGTTTTGATTACTTTACTGGTGTTTATTAGGCCCATATTTATCTATTTCAATATCACTGTATTGTTAAATTGAATTTGAAAGTACTTACTCTTTCCATAGCTTATCATTGCTCCATATCTCATAAATAACATATCTTGATGAACCTTTGAAGCTCCTTACACTTAAACTAAAAAACAAAGAACACATTTAAGGGCAAAATGGGGTCATCATTTGTTAGTCTAAAATCTTCTGTCCTTCTTTAATATTTATATTTAATCCAATGCATGATCAGTTACACAATGCTTTTTTTTAAAACAGGGAATGAAAGAATTTCCCTAACACTGAAAATTGAAAGAATTTCCTAACACTGAAAATTGGGGAGTTAACACAATAGATTCACTCACTGTTGACAGTCTTCATTCACATTGACAGCTTCAATGTAAGATTTGAGGCTGTTCCTGAATGACTTCTCACACCCCTCAGATACTGTTAACTTTCGATGCACAATGAAGATCTACAAAAATACATAACATGTGAATGTTAGATAAAGCATTTACTAGTAGATTATAAAATTTGTATTTATATAGAGTTCACAGACATGTACTTCTTCACAATGAATCCAAACCTCCTTAGGAAAGATAAATTTATTTGAAGTACATAATACCATGGGCTTTCAATTAGAGTTTCAATTCTAGTTGAAAGCCCATGATATTACCAAAACATTTCGCCTTGTGCTTGCGAGTTGGAAGAATGAAAAGAAAGACCTCTAAACCATAGACATGCAGAATTCTTCCTTGTCCTTGTCCTTGTCTAAATATTCGAACTACATGTACAGGAAATAATTCTAAATTGACCATACATATAAATAAAAACATTTGAGACTTATGAGCAATACAATTAATTTGATTTAAATAATTCTAATTGTTGTATCAATAGGTGGCGCTACAGAACTACAAGCCTGGAAGAACGTTTTAACAAGATGAACGTGTGAAAGTACGTACCAACTTTTCATTCTGTATGTCAATCTGTTCCTCAGGTATATCAAAGCTCACCTGAAATCAAAATTATAATCAAGTGATGTGTGTTAATAATAGGAAGCTACTACTCATATGCCTGCATATTAAATGAGGAATGGGTTACCGTATAAAGACATGTAGTGATGCATGTTGCAGAGAAAACTACAGTTGACTCAACAAAGATCAAGGTAAATTCATTTTATTGCTATAATATTCTTTATTTAAATAATCAACTTCATTTCTCGGGGCTGCTTAATTATCACGTTTATTTCTACTGGAACCAAGTTTATAAATGCAAGTTCATATCATATCTATTGTCTTTTAAATGTACATACCCTTGTCTCTAGTCTATCAATAAGTGACCGCAGTCTGTCCACCTGGGAACTCAACGCACCACCAGCAACTCCAAGTCCTGTAATGCGGTGGTATAATGGCATATCATCCCATACTATTACATTAGGAAGTAAATAGAATCCAGAGAAAGGAAATAAAAGTATGATGAATAAGGTAAGATAAATGAATATTTAGTTATTATCAGATATAACATTTCAGATAATAAAATAATGAGAAAATAAGATAAGATATTGGAGTCAAACAAATAACAGTGTTAAATAAATGAAAGTCAAAGGATATATTATCAATTTCAGTTAGTTTTCAGGTTCAATTCATTGAAAAGTAGAACAAAAATTGTAATACATGTAGAGTAACAGTAAATATGAAAATAGCAGAGATATACAGTTGATACATGTGATACCATAGTGTGAAGGAAGAAAACAGGACAGTAATATTGCAGAACATCAGTGTGGTCAGAGAAAATCCACATTGGGCATGTCATGGTTTTTACACACAGACAATCCACATTGGGTTAGCCAGGAAATATGAAAAGAAAAATAATGAAGACAACATCAATATAAATCTCATATTAAAATACAGTAAAACATGTTAGGTGAACCACTTCTAAAAGTTGAACACTTCCATCATTATTTTGTATCAAATGTCTTTCATTTCCACAGGTTTTATTGTACTTTAATACAATAACACAATATATTCAACTGAATAGCATAGACAAAAATTAAATGCAAGCAAGCTTATGTATGCCACAGATTAAAATACCTTCATGAACATAGAGAAAATTTGGGATTAATCCCACAAATCAAATTTGAAAAAATTAATAGAATGTAGATCAACAAAATATTAGAATTCCTGGATAGGATAAGAGGAAAGATAAAAATGATACAATTACTGGACATTTAATTTGTCGTGTAAATGCAGGTGAAAATTAGAAACAAAGTTGATTATTGTTTCAATATATTCACCAACAATGGATTGCTTTATCTCACCCTGCTCTTGACTAGATTGAGATGTGTTACTCTGCTGGCGACGATAACGTCTTCCCATCCTTCCTGGAATTGTACTACTTCCTTTGACCTCAGTCACTTCAGCAGCTGCGGCACCTGCCTCCCTGGAAACAAAAATTAGAATGAAGTAATTTAATTAAATCAAATTTAAAAAAAGTGTTTTTTCACACTTTCACAATTTGTAAAAGGAAATATGGACTGGGTACCAAACAAGAAGTTTATGTGGGATTTAACTATCAAAACATTATGAACCATTAATAATGATTTCAGCTTTCATGAACCATTCATTAAAAATATTCAGGTTTTACTTTTCATGACCCATTTGTGATGTATAGATTTTCCTCTTACTGAGTTTCAGCAGCCTTTTGATCCAGAGCATCTGATGCAGTATCTATGGGGCGTTGTAGAGCTGCAAACTGATTCATAACCTCTCTTAGTAGAAACCTAGTTATAAACTGTTGTGTTTTATCACTACTGTCATATTCCTGGAAACACAAACAAAATATATATTCTTATCCTACTTGCACAAATAGAGGTAATATAATGGGAGGGATGGAATATGAATATTATTCTGAGAGAAAATGTGATATTTGCTAAGGACCATCAATAACCTATTTTGCAAGAATATTTCCAAAGGATTTTTGTTCACTTCTGGTAGAAGTGTGCTGAAAGAAAAATGTAGAAATTGAGAGAAATCTCCAGGAAAAATCCTGATATGAATATAGGATTACCTTAGATGTTTCCATGAGGGCCTGTGAGACATGGCCGTTCATTTTTTCTATAGCACTGAATATAGGACCAAACTGACCAAGGTGTTGAGTGAAGTATGTGCATAACTCGCCTGTATCTATGTTGCTGAAATGAAAAAATAAGATATTTCTGTTATATAAGTAGTGTTGGTTATGTATTCTCTTTTACATATAAATTTCAGACTGTCATTTAGAAAATATACTTCAAATTTATTCTTATACAAGAGGAAGGGGGTGTCAAACATACAGTATTTTATTTGCCTTTCATACATGTTTTGGAACTGTTCAGTGTATTCAAAGTTATGGTAACTTAGCTTTGTGACTGAGTATAAGTATGGATAATAAGGGCCAATAATAATACTTACTTGGTATTGTGTGTATCTATATCATTAAAGAGATTCTCTAGCTCTGATGTTGTCATGACACCATCAGCAAAAAATGACTTGAATTCATCCCAGGATAGAGCACTGTCATCTGTAATACAATTACATGTAGAATTAAAAATGCTTGCTAATTAATGCTCATTAATTTTTTGTTTCACCAGTACTTTATGAATGGCTATTTGTAATGCATGTTGACCCTTTTTAAGTGCCTATGGACTTCGAGACTGGATATCGTCTATCTCACATCATTTGCTAGTCTCGCTAGGTGTCTTTACAGTTTTTAGTCCTCTCCTTTTGGGTCATTTTGCCACTGTGCTTAGATATTTATGCAATTAAAAGATACAAAAAGAACAGAATTATCACAGGATAACTTTGCATTAAAAATAGAATAGTCAGGTACTTTTGTAAGCCTAAATGCAAATTATTTCCACAGATATAGATGTAAACTTTCTTTCTATCCATTAAGCACTTTTATGCTGCTTGATTAGTCTCTTTGAACTTTTTTTTGACACTTATTACTGACACGGCGTTACTTTTTCACTTATTACTTTAATGTGGCTTATTGTGGCTGGCATTTTAATGTTTACATTTCAGATTTCCTAAAATACTTTACGGGAAAATAAGTATTGTACATACCATTTTTATCTGCCCTTCGGAAAACCTGTAACCAAAATTAATTTTTATGTTACCTGTTTCACCAAAATTTAAAAGACTCCATTCCTATATTTTTAGGTCAGTTTTCTGTGCTACATTTGGTTTATTCACAAAATTCAAAACAATGTTTTTATTCCCAGGGTGTAAGAAAATTTGCTTTACTGAATGATTTGAAGTCCTATAGCTCGCATTCAAGTCCCGATTTTAGTGCTTGCCCCACTTTTTTAGTCAAAACCCAATTTTCGTTAAAATACAAGCCTGTTTTCAAGATTTACTGAATCATTTTTTATCTTGATTTTTCTACCGATTTAGTTTCAGCAATCAAAATTACTCATTGTTTCGAATTGTCGATTTACTTTTTGTAGTTTTTGCATGGCATGGCATGGGCAGCGACTTTTCGAGACCCTATCTGTTGCAAGACTTATGCCTGGCACAACCATCACCATGTTATAAGTGATTTTAAGTTTCACAAGGATCCTGCCATAACCGTAGTGTTATCGTGATAGCCTGGTACTAACCGTGACAATCATGGGCGTAGCGCCTGGTACGCTGGGTACACACAGGCGTACCAGATGGTTGCAAATTCGCTCCAAATACAACCAAATTTCAAAATTGTCCTGGGGGAGAACCCACAGACCCCCCTGAATGCTCTCTTTTTAATTCACTTAACTCTTGTCCTGTGGTGGTGGCGTACTACTTAGAAAAATAGCGCTACGCCCATGACAATGCTATATTATCTTACATGGCCTGTCATGACCGTGGTAATTTAAAACCTGATATGACCGTGACAATGCTATACTATATTGCAAGGCCTGGCATTTATCCCGTTCCCGGACTATGGTCCTGTGAACATCTCAATCTTTTGCCTGTGCGATTACAACATGGGAGAATTTTTTACTGATCTTACACTTCAGATACCTACTTCAATAGATTCCTTGGTAATTTAGCATTCTTTTCGTGTAGTTGAATCCACAATTGTCTGGGTTTATTGGCAGAACGAAGACATTTTCGTTTTTTGGTCGCAATATTTGCGTGTAACATTTAACTTATTTCAACCGTCAAATTCCTCCATATTGGTACTTCCGGGCTACATCCGGGACAGCCAAACGGGGGATTCCCCTTTTAAATCCAACCGCCATTTTGAAAAGTGATGGAATCTCTCTCGATGAAAAAGAAAAAATGTTCCCGTTCTGCTGATATACCCAGACAATCGGCGGTTCCAATATATTAGAAGTTACATCTTGAGTTCTATAATGCATTGAGGTAGGTATCTTAAGTGTAAGGGGCGTAGATAATTCTCCCAAGTTGTAATCGTACAGGCAAATGAATGCGATCAGTGCAGGACTATAGTCCGGGAACGGGATAACCTGGCATGACCGTAATAACATGGTGACGGTTGCGACAGGCATAAGTCTTTCAATAGATAGCATGCAGACTTTTCTCCAGATTTTAATATAAGCACTAATTTTCTCCCTAATTTTTTGCAAAAATCTCTACGTTCTAGACCACAATCTAAAGGGGTCGCAGGATGCGATAAAATATTTCAACAGTGTTCTATCAATCATTTCTGATTCACAAAGTTTCTGACACAGTGCCCTGATTGATTTTTAGAACGAGTAGCCTTGATTGCTTAGTAATTCGACCATATAATATTAAATGGTTGAATCATTACTTTGGATAATGCATTACTAACGTCACACTAGACTACTGCACATGTACTTACGTCCAAGAAGATAGACATTTCCTTTTCCTGGTTTGACATTTTTAAATCTCGTACTTTCTCGTGCACTTGCGAGATAATAATAGTACTCTAAATGTCAAACTCCAAATTACGAAATTGACAAAACTTTTATTGCGCATCTACGCATAGCGCATTCACTCGACAGTTTAGCTTATCATATTTAGTTTTATTCGAAAGTAGGTATATTATAAAAGCTATTTTCGAAATATTTCTGGTTTATCTTAGACTTTATTAATTATTGTTAAGACTGAATTCGTACGTTCCACATTTTCTTCGTTGTTATAAACAAGATGGCGACCAAGGTTGCTCGCTCGGACCAGTACATTGGAGAAACTAATAAACAGATTAGGAACGGTATGCATATACATGCTATTTTAATTATCAGTTGAATATTATATAAACCATGCATGTAGTGAAATTGGTTGTGATACATCTGGATGTCCATATATAGCAGGAAATCAGTTTTGAATTTGTAAAATTCAATATTTCAAAAAAAATTCAATAATTTTTTCATCATGGGCTTTCAACTAGCAACTTGCTCTTCAGGGTCATTATACAGAATTACTTCTGTAATGTAGAACATCAGTCTTTGGATCCAAGGGTCCTAAGTTCAATTCCCACACAGGGCATTGACTTTAGCACAATTTCTTGATCTGGCTTGTTACACTATACTCATTACTACTTTTTTCAAGGCCTGACTGCATCGCTAACATGCTAAATATAAGAGTTAGCTGACGTTTGGGAGTCTGACTTACCTTCTAAAGGTTAGAACCCGAATCTTAATGAAACCATATCACCTTTGTTCCGTCAACCATGGAGCATTTGCCACAACATCCAAGAGGTAAATCATGGATCGAGAAAATGAATGATTTCCTTGTAAGTTCTGGAAGTTTCAATACGAAAAATTACCGAACATATGTGAAAACCGAATATTTGTTCGTTGTTTTCACGATTTACAGGTTCGTTTGTTCTTCAATGTTTTGGTCTAAATTATAAAGCATCACCAACAGGTCTTACTCTATTAATCGACTAATACAGCAGACGGCTCATATTTCTACGTAGCATTTCATTCAGACCAATAGTGGGAGTGTAGATCACGCAGTTTCGTTCGTTGCGTACTTCACTTGAAATTAGTAATTTTAAATATTGACTACTTCACTTAGCTTGGAGGATGTAGAACATTGCTTAATATTCTTTTAATTTTCACACCAGACATGCTTGGTTGACACGTCAACAAAGTAAAGTTCAAGGGTCAATGCGTTATTTCGTGATAACTACAACGCCTTCCCGGAAGTCAACATTGATGAAAAATGAAAAAGTCGGAAGCATTTACGCTAATTTCTATCAAATGCTATGTTTATGCATCATCATCGACGCAACAAAGGTGATATGGTTTTATTAAGATTCGGGTTCTAACCTTTAGAAGGTAAGTCAGACTCCCAAACGTCAGCTAACTCTTATATTTAGCATGTTAGCGACGCAGTCAGGCCTTGAAAAAAGTAGTAGTTTCCCCTGGGGTGCCCTCGGGTCATTACATTGGTGTCAGAGGTGGGATCAAATCATACGTTGTATCCTTTGTGCCCCTGTGTGTGGTAGTCACTGCTAGAGAAAGCAGGGTTGACCACGAGGGCGTGGTCCTTTCAAAGGGGGAAAGTGTAACGACCCTGGATACCAAGTTGCTAGCTGTAGCTGTAATCCTTTATAGCTCACTCAGTAGAGCATCAGTCTTTGGATCCAAGGGTCCTAGGTTTGATTCCCACACGGGCATTGAATTAAGCACACTTTCTTTCAATTTCTTTATCTGGCTTTTTACACTACACTCATTATATTAGTTAGTCATTTCCCTGTGGTGCCCTCTGGTCATTACACTTCTAAAGCAGGTTGACATCACTCATTCAAATTTCAAATCCCAGAATCAGTTCCTTGGGGTTCACTTCCCAGGAGTTCAGTTCAAATAGCATCTACTATAGCAGTCTGGATCTATTGATTCATGTTTCACATGATGTATGTCTGGATTAATATGTATATCTTCTGCAATTTTGATAAAGTCTGTTCTGGTATAATGACTCTTTCGGTCTCTAAATGAAAGTGCAAACAGTACAGATTTTGTTATCTTGAATTTACATATGTTCCCTGTATGATTAGCTACTGTATGCTTTATCCTAAATCTTCTTTTTTTTGTAGGTTTTGGTGTTTACAATTATTCCAACAAATTTTTCCGTTATGAGGGAGAATGGCAAGGTGGATTGAAGCATGGTAAGAAGGCAATTTCCCATATTCATTTGAAAAATTGGCCAAAGTTAATTTTAATTAATTTCTTGTTGATAAATTCCTCCGTTTTAATGGAGGAGCATTTTTATTTAAACATCAATAGTCAATAGTTTTACAATAAGAGGAAATTTAGGATGTTTTTTGATTTGGCTCGATACTACTTATTACACATTTAAACACATCATTGATGATTTTTGCAGGCCATGGTAAGCTTTTGTTAGGGGATGGCAGTTACTATGAGGGAGAATTCACTGAAGGAGAAATCACTGGCCATGGCTTCAAATACACTTCATGTAATGGCAATAAATATTCTGGACAATTTGTGCAAGGTAAATGAGATTTCCTTCATTGCTCAATGTGATAGAGCACATAATCCCATCGAACGAAGTTTAGAGGGATATGGTATTTTTATGTGTGTTATTTTACATGTTTTGCTATTGCTGAAAAAGTAGTGGAAGGATTATGTAAAAATGGCAGCCATGGCTGTTCGATGGGATTTGCTATGCTTTGGCATTGCTGTTATCTAGTTTGATTTGAAGTTTTTAGTCTGATCGATTTTAGATCAACAAGTCAGTTTTTCAAAACAGTTCCTCCTTACGGCCAGGGTTAATACATTATATCCATATTATATGCTATTGTTATAGGAGAGATGCATGGTCAGGGCATCATGGAATATGGCAACAACTCACGTTATGAAGGAGAGTGGGTTAGAAACAGGAGAGTTGGTATGTACTTTTTATGAGTCGTTTACTTCAATGCATGGAGAGTAAGTCATCCCGCTCTTTCTTGCCTATGGTTAGTATAAAGAATAGAAGTGTAATGACCTGAGGGTGCCACAGGGAGTGACTTGCTCATCGGAAATAGTAAAAAGAACAGTGATGCCTGTGTGCATTTCTTTCTTTTGTCCAAAAGGTATGACATTGACATCAAGTTACACATCTTACTCTTCTCCAAAAAGGGAAAATTTTTAAAAAATATAATTTAAACAATAACATCTTGGTTCACAAGATTTCAGATGATCTAATGCCTCATGTCTTTGATAGAATTCTTTTACCTGACCAAGACCAAGAATGCACTTCTTTTATGAGCATTTGATAAAGCATTGTTAATTAGCAATATCTCCACTCTCCGGGATTTATTCTAATTTTACATATTTTTGTTAAAAAAGTTTCATCCTTTTGTAGGGTGCAAACAGATTTAAACTGGGCAAGGGTGCCACATAATTTTCATATTTTCAACAGGGTGCCATGTAATTTTCATATTTTCAACAGGGTGCCATGTAATTTTCATATTTTCAAGAGGGTGCCATGTAATTATCATATTTTCAACAGGGTGCCATGTAATTATCATATTTTCAACAGGGTGCCACATAATTTTCATATTTTCAACAGGGTGCTATGTAATTTTCATATTTTCAACAGGGTGCCATGTAATTATATTTTCAACAGGGTGCCATGTAATTTTCATATTTTCAACAGGGTGCCATGTAATTATCATATTTTCAACAGGGTGCCATGTAATTATCATATTTTCAACAGGGTGCCATGTAATTTTCATATTTTCAAAAGGGTGCAGCTCTGTTGCTCTATAGCTGAAGAGTACACTGTTAATGTTTATGCATCCATTAAGGTTATGGTTCACTGACAGATGCCAGGAACAACCTCTACCAAGGAATCTTCTATGAGAACAAGAGACATGGAGAGGGAACACAGACTTATGAGTAAGTGATATAAAACCTGAAGTATCAACACTACTGGGGGATTAGCTTTAATGTTATAATGAAGTTTTATTATATATAAAGTATGTGTACACAGATTTTAAAATTTAACTGTTGTTTTTTTATATGTCATGTTTGGTTGGCTCCAAATTTTTGCCTTAGAGGACAACTACTCCTAAGAGAGGGTTTAGACACTTGGAATCACTATACCCTGTATGTGTAAACATAATGACAATTTTGGCATAATTGAGCCTTACCCAATCATTATTTTGTAGGAATGGCGATGAATATACAGGAGACTGGGTCCAGGATAAAAGACAAGGTCATGGAGAACTTAAATGTCAAGACAGCACTGTGTATGAGGTAATTAGCATCTGTGGAAACAGGAGAAAATGATAGTGTATAACAATTTAAAGTAAATAAACATGAGGAAAGTGTTTAGCCCCTCATCTCTCATTTACGCCAGCCATAAATAAGAGATGAGGGGCTAAATACAATGTCAATGTTAATTGGAAACCAAAATGTAATTCTTGCATATTCGTTCACTATTTTTACAAAATATGTATTTACAATATTGTACATGGCATGGTGATATGAGAATAATGCATCCCTTCATCCTTCTACAAAGACAAATTCATGCTAAACAAATAGTTCATTACCTTGGCCTAGCTGGGATTGGATTGAAAGAACAACAACAACAACAACACTTTTAATGATTTATTTCAGGAATTTATTTTAATAATGTACAATAATATTTTTTGATTCATACCAATATATAACTCACAAAAAGTAACAGATTATTATAAATCAAAAACATTTTGGTTTTACTTAGAATCGGAGTTAGAGAATTATTATTTGAATATAGAATATGAGGCCACATTAGGTAAACAAAGAAAAAACAACACCCAAATACAATATCAACTCATAAAACCAATCAAAATAAATCATTCTAACAATTTGATAGCATGCACATGATTGTAGTTATTCAGTTCAACAACATCTACCCAATATTAGTGTCAGTCTTATATTATATGTACATAAATCATTCTATCAGATTCAAGTCTGTTTCTCTTTTTTAACACATGTTGATTAAAGATTGGTTGTTTTGAAGTTTAAATTTAAAAAAATCAGTATAAATGTTTGTAACAATATTATTGACCAAGGATACTGAAAATTAAACAAACATTATAAAAATAATTTTCAATTCATTTTTTATTCCAGGGTCAATGGAGGAATGATATGTTTAGCGGGCAAGGCACCATGATTCACTCCTCGGGATGTGCTATGAATTTTTATTTTTTTTCTATTCCAGGGTCAATGGAGGAATGATATGTTTAACGGGCAAGGCGCAATGATTCACTCCTCAGGGATGTGCTATGAATTTTTATTCTATTTTCTATTCCAGGGTCAATGGAGGAATGATATGTTTAACGGGCAAGGCACCATGATTCACTCCTCGTGGATGTGCTATGAATTTTTATTTTATTTTCTATTCCAGGGTCAATGGAGGAATGATATGTTTAACGGGCAAGGCACCATGATTCACTCCTCAGGGATGTGCTATGAATTTTTATTTTATTTTCTATTCCAGGGTCAATTGAGGAATGATATGTTTAACGGGCAAGGCGCAATGATTCACTCCTCAGGGATGTGCTATGAATTTTTATTCTATTTTCTATTCCAGGGTCAATGGAGGAATGATATGTTTAACGGGCAAGGCACCATGATTCACTCCTCGTGGATGTGCTATGAATTTTTATTTTATTTTCTATTCCAGGGTCAATGGAGGAATGATATGTTTAACGGCAAGACACCATGATTCACTCCTCAGGGATGTGCCATGAATTTTTATTTTATATTCTATTCCAGGGTCAATGGAGGAATGATATGTTTAATGGGCAAGGCACTATGATTCACTCATCAGGGATGTGCTATGAAGGGATGTGGATCAACAACAAACCTGCTACCGTGGCAACAAAACTAGTCATCAACATAGGGGAGGAACCATTAGAACTTGCCCAAGGGGAGAAGTTTTCTATAGAAGTAGCTTGTGTCAATGATGATGGAGAACTCATTGAAGGTACTTTATTAACGATTTGTATTTTAAACACACTTAAATGTGCTATATTGTCATTATGTGGTTCTTAAAGTCCCCGTCTAAAGTTTGAAAATATTTTTTTATCATTCATTTACTATTTGTCAGGACTTAAAAAGTGATTTTAGAGATTTTTGAACAAAAAACATTTTTTGAAATTTCTTAATCATCAAATATTTCTTAATGCATTTCAAAAAAGATTATCTTTTTAACACCAATGCAAAGATTGAACAAAGGACACACTATTTCAATAATAAAATGCCATATTTAATGGGCCACTTCAATGTTTTAGCATATCAAAAATATTTTGAAACATTAGTGATGTCACTAAGGTAACCAAAACTCTTTGAAAAAAATTGAAATTTTTTTTTCGATGTCAATCTTTTCTAAATATGCTAGACTTTCATAAAAAACCAATGTTGATTGTCTAACCAGGTTAAAAGGAAGAATAAATTATGTTTTAGATATCATTGTACAATTGGTTTCTATGAGAACTAAAATTTTGAAATGGATTTTTCTCAGAACCATTTTCATGCACTGATAAATTCATTTTTCGCTTGTTTATCAACCGATTTTCTTAATTTTTTCGGCAAAAAACATGGGAGGATACATGCTATGCATTGGTATGAATTGTGGCTAGTTAGAAGATATGAGTGACCTCTAAAAGTTGGTTTTAAATAAATTCACAAATTTTGGAACAAAAAGTCTTTCAAAAATCACTTTTTGAAATTAAAAAAAAAAGTTTCACATATCACACTTTGATAACATTGGGTAAGACTACAATATAAGCCAAAGTGGTTTAAACTTTACATGGGGCCTTTAAAAGAAAATTTGCCATCAAGATTGCAAGAAAACTGCTCAATTTATTTAACTTGAAATTTTTAGAATCAGACAAGTACCAAGATTACGATGGTCCCATCATTTTACACCCATCAATAAATTACAATTCAAATTTATTATTACATACCTGTAGCTATAAATTAACTCCAAAGCAAAATACAACATTTAGTCAGGAATATGTGATAGTTTAAGGAAGCAATTACAAAACCAACTGCTTCATTATTATTTAAGGTCACTAATAAGGTAAATTTATTATGTCACCATCAAAAATGGTGACATATTGTTTTCATATCCAACTTTTTGTGGACAGTGTTTGGCGATAGATGTTCAGAGTTCGACATCTGAAACAAATGACAGAAGTGTCATTTTTGTTTAACGCTTGTTTTGTGCAGATCACATTTATATGAAGCGGACTATAGTTTTAACATATATATATGTACAATTACCCGGTCAGGATTTCCCAAAATATCATTTTGCGAAAAAATGCATATATCCAGAAATATTAAATTACTGTGCTATTTGAAAACTACATATATGAGCAGTAAATGATTTGATATTTATCCCATCGAACAAAGTTCGGAGGGATATAGGGAACGCCTCCGTCCGTCCGTCCGTCTGTCCGTACGTACGTCTGTCCGTACGTACGTCTGTCCGTACGTACGTCCGTCCGTCTGTCCGTCCGGGCAATAACTCAAATTCCGTTGGACCGATTTTGTTCATATTTTGTACACATATACCCTATGGGGGTAGAAGTTCTGCTCGAGAGCCGATTTTCAAAATGGCCGCTCATTTCAAAATGGCGGCCATTTTAGTGACGATTTTACAGTAATTTAGGTGCTATATGTAAAACTGTAATAGCAATATGTTTTAAATGTAAAAAAATTATAAAGGACATTAATAATGCTACAAATGTAGATATTAAAGAAGCACATGGCAGCCATCTTGAAAAATGGCGGCCTTTACTCGTCATTTTACGATTTTGGCTGTAACTCAAAAAATAGTGGAGCGATTTTTTTCATATTTGGTATGTGAATACTATAAGCATTGCACACTGTCTAAAGACACTTTTGGTAGAAGGCGGCCATTTTGAAAAATGGCCGCCATTTTAACGTATTTTACTATAACTCGAAAAGTAGTGGAGCGATTTTGTTCATATTTGGTATGTGAATACTATAAGCATGGCACACTGTCCTATGACACTTTTGATAGAAGGCGGCCATTTTGAAAAATGGCCGCCATTTTAAAATATTTTACTATAACTCGAAAAGTAGTGGAGCGATTTTGTTCATATTTGGTATGTGAATACTATAAGCATGGCACACTGTCCTATGACACTTTTGGTAGAAGGTGGCCATTTTGAAAACAATTTTGAAAAATGGCCGCCATTTTAACATATTTTACTATAACCCGACAAGTAGTGCAGCGATTTTGTTCATATTTGGTATGTGAATACTATAAGCATGACACACTGTCTATTTCTAATGACGCTTTTGTTAGAAGGTGGCCATTTTGAAAAATGGCCCCCATTTTAACGTATTTTACTAAAACTCGAAAAGTAGTGGAGCGATTTTGTTCATATTTGACATGTGAATACTTTAAGCCTGGCACATTGTCTAATAAAACTTTGGGGAGTAGTTGGCCATTTTGAAAAATGGCCACCATTTTTATGTGTGTTATTTTACAAGTACGTGTGCGATTTTTCAAAAATTTTAGAGGTGGCTAATTAAAAGGATATTATTTCTTCTGATGACAATTTGGCTAGTGAGCAACCATTTTGAAAATGGTGGCCTTTCTGGTGTGTTGTTTTATGCTATTTGCGCTTCGTTTGTAAAAATGCCAGCCATTTCTGTTAGATGGGATTCGCTACGCTTTGGCGTTGCTGTTGTTCTGGTTGTTATGGGGAACACGAGAGCCTTATTTTGTTAAAAACATGTCATAGTGAAGTTACACTTCCCTCAAAACGTTTGGCAACCTTAGGCACTGGGTGAGATTTAAGGGAAGACCCCAGAGCATGAGATTTTACATTTAGAAATAACAATAATTTCGCACAATTACACGTAACTTAAAAGCTGCTTCTTCTCGGACAAAATAACCCATCTTTGGCAATGGCTAAATCAGTCCTTTGTAGGAATTTTGTTTTAAGCCAGTTCTGGTCCAATACGAAGTTATTGAAAGTTATTGAAAACAATGAAGACGTCCCATACTCCGAATGAGTTTTACAACATTGACGAATAAATATCTGGAATAGTCGTAATGTTGATGAAACACATGTTCTTTCAAATGTGTACATCTCTGTTTTGTTTTATTTCAATTAAAATTTAAAATATTTCTTGGGACGTTCCTGGGGCTGGCAAGTCCCCGAAATCAATTGTGTTAAATAATTAAAAACGTTGTGAAATGAATTATTTAAAAGCGTATATCATTTATAAACACAAGCATTTGTTCAAATTTATTCATTCTTTCATTTGTTCAGTATTTTTCAGATACACTCCACTCATCTAAGATATTGTATTGAATTCAAATTGTTATCGTTCCAGTTTACTTGCTCTCCATTTTCATGTTAATGCCATGATATGTTTAGCGAATAAATTATATATTAAAAAACATTGAAAAATCATATGGTATTAATCTTCAAATAATGAAGGCCTAATTTGTTATCAAGCCGTCTGAACTTAACAAAATAACAGTCGCTTGTATTTATATATGATTTATATCCACTAAAACGTTTTTATTATCAATTGCGGTTGATCTGCTCCGGGGGACTTACCACTGAGCTCCGGGGACGTCCAAAGAAATATTTTTAACTTTTTTAAAACAAAGCATAACGGACACCCACTTATTTGAATAATAGATACTTTTATCAGTAATACGTCTATCCGGGATAGTTTAAAAAGCCTTCGTGTTAACGTTGTGAAAAGTTATCATAGAAGAACGATCTTTCAGAGTATATGGGTGTTTGCGTCAATTTCAATAACCTTGCATTTGATCCGAACTGGCTTCCAACAAAATTCTTGAAAAACAATGATAAGCCATTGCATGAGGTGATTTATTTTGTCCTAGATGAAGTAGTTTAAGTTAAAGAATAAATTGTGCGAAATAGTTTATATTCCTTGGAAACAAATCATGCTCCAGGGTCTTCCAGAAATCAGACGAAAAATGGTGGATTCGGGGCAAATCAGATTTTAGGATATGTATTCAGTAAAAGATTCACCGAAATATATTTTGATGCAAAAAATCAATTATAAGTTGTCTGACTTTTTTGCACGTTGCCTGTTTATTTTACTTTGTGAACATTAAAGTTACAAAGCTGCAAGGTCATTTTTGAAAATCATTTTTATGTCCTGTGTTATTTCAATGGGAGAGGTTTTTTGATTAAGTCTATTACTTTCAGTAAATAAAGACATCATTTTTGTTAAATAAAATTCAAATTCAATTGTCTACTTAACTTAATGAAGGTACTAAAATGAATTATATTTCACCTCCCAAAATAGGGAGGTACAAATTATGCATACAAGAATTCAAACCTAAAGATGCTTTAATACATAATCCAATAGGTTAGTTAGGATTACCAAACTTCTGGAAGGAGTGTAATTGTACAAATTGCATTATTTGAGGAACCCTAATGAAGGGGGGGGGGATTTGTGAATAACATAAAAATAGAACCCCCGGTCACCAAATCCTGGCTAGGCCACTGTTTATGAAGTTTCTGTTAATGACCTCAGGTTGACAAGAATAATTTTATTAATAAACCAGCCTCTTCTTTATAACACCAAAGGTCAAATGTCTTCTAATACAGTATCATAAAAGTATATGAATTTATATTCATCTATATTTTGGTTGTCATCACTTGTTTTCTACTTGATGTTACCATTTTCAGTTGTTTACTTTTGGATGTTGAGGCACAATGCATCAACGACACAAGATTATTTCTGAACTCTCTGTTGGCTACTGTGTATATAACAAAATTAAGACAAAGGTCTGCGCCTGCTCGAACACAGAAACTGATGTCATAGTAATCCTTGAAATCTATAGGAAGGATTAAATCAGTGAAATAATAAGATAGTTGGAGTGCATACATAATGTCACGAATCACCCCAGGTATAATCAAAATTGTGAACATTGTTGCTATAGCAATCAGTAGCCTTGACAACTGGTTTTCTCTCTTACAAGCTGATATAACACCAGATCCAACCATTTTTGAACGATGTTTTAATGCCTTTTTTATACCAAAAACCACCCTTAAAGCCATAGCACCAACTAGGACTACTGGTATTATGCTACGAGTGAGACCCATAAAGCAAATATTGTACAAATACTGGTACATTTTAGATGGCCCTAAACTGTCTTGGGCCATGAAATGCTTTACCATTTTTTCACCAGTGCATCGATTCTGTATCAGAGTAGGCAGCCAACTAAAATATTTAGGAAAATGGATACCTATGGAGAAAATTATCAAAATGATAATCTCGATCGTAGATTTTTTTATGGAACAAAGAGATTTGGCCATTAAAGGTTTGCATACCACTATATAGCGATCAATCATAAGCAGTACAACCAGCCATATTGATATGAAAATCACAGAATGTTTAATTGTTCTTAAATAAACAAAAACCATAGGGATAGCATGTACTGAATCATTTTCTCTGTCCTTTACCAAGTTGGTTCGCTCATAGATTTCAAAATATAAGTCAAAAGTTATGTACCATAGGCAGTATATGCCATCGCTTATGGCCAATGCTTTAAGAATCAAGATACTTGTATTCAGTTTATGTTTTGATAGCACAGTGAAAGATAAAACACTTCCGATAACACCAAACATACAGATTGGTAAGGAGAAGCAAAAATAGGTCACAAAGCTTACACGGTTGACTATTTTAGGCTGAAAATTGAAATTTTCTACTCGGTCTTCTTTAAATGGTTGACAACATCGTAACGTAAACAAATTATTCAGTATACAATCATCTGGTAAAAATGGGTGTAACCACTTGAATTCCATAAACATTGTTTCATTTGAGGAATCTGTTATGTCTGTTACATGACAGACCAATGTTTGTGTCTCCATAATGAGCATACATAAAGGCCATGAGGTTGGTTTTGGAAAGTCAAATGGCCAGTACATGTATGGTGCTTCTTCATTGGTTGCATTCTTTGCCCTTATATAGCATGCGAATGTCCCATTGTAACCCACAAGAAGCATACACCACTTTGGCCATGGGGATGGAGCCTTGAAAGGAAGCTTAGACAGGAACTTCACTTTAACTGGGACTATTATCTCTTGAGTCTTAATGACATTTGGAGGTAATGTGTCATTATGGATCAATCCTGAAATTGGTTCTGAAATTGTACCTTGCCGTATGACTTTTACTTTGATTCCATCTGTGCTGATTGAACCATTGAATGATTCAGTAGTATTGTCATCTACCAGTGTATCATTGAGCTCCTGATGATTCAACCCTGTAATGTAGCTGGATGTTGATACATATAGGGACTGTGTCATTTCATCTTGGACTGTTGCTCCTTCATCAGAGGATTCATCCAATCCTTGTGCATTAGTTTGACTTGTAACATCACTGGAAGATGTAGCATGTTCTACTTTAGTCGTCACATCTTGAACAGTCATTACAACCAATGCTGGCCGAGTTATGTTTGTTGAATTTAAATCAAGGTTGTCAGTTTCATCTATTAGGCTGGTTATAATGATGACCACGATGTAATTCATTATTTTGTACTGGATGTTTCTTTTTCGAACAAAATCAGTCTTCATAACCTAGGATTAGAATAGAACCAATTGTGATATTGACACACCAGAGGCTTGTTTCTTATTAGTATGTAATTTGATTCTTAATTGTTGCAGAAAAGCATGACTTTGCATTAGTTATGAGATCTTTCAAATCATATTGTTTTATTGTACTCAAAACAATGGTGTTTTAGGGTTTTAACCATTCTGATGCTCATAGCATCTTTCTGTTTCTCAGGGCTGAGAAGAAATGAGATGTCATGGTTTATCATGATGAGTTTAAATTCAGATCCAGGTTCTCAGTTTCATGAATAAGCCGCAATGTATAATTCATCATTTTGCCCTGGATGATTCTTTTTCAAACAAAATCAGTCTATTTTAACTAACTATTTTATCAGATATCTTTTTTATTCTTTTTTCAGAAAGTTAGGAAATCATTGGCATGATTTATTCATGGTTATAAACATTTATAGAATGTCTTTTTTACATAATATGTTTATTTTCTTCCCTGACTTAAAGTAAATCTTTTCTAAAAGAAAATATTTAAAAAACAATAATTATGTTGAAACATGTTCAAAATAACTTTCAAAATAATATTGTCTGAGCAACTTTGCTGACAACAAGTTTTCATCAATTTTTAGATGGTGTTATTCTATTAGTTTCAACAGTAAATATAATTTTAAAATGTTTCTATCTCCAGAACCATTGTTTTGGCTTGCGGTTCAATTTCGTGCTTAGTTTCAACAGATTTTCTAAATCGTTACAATAGAAATTAGCTTAGAATATATGCTATGCAGTGATCTCATCCATTGTTTATCAGTATGCATTGGACCTCCAAATTACTATTTTCATGAATAACTTAGCAATTTCAACATTTTTTCAAAGGCAATTATTTTAATATATGTTTCACATATCATGTAGAGTACCAGCCAAAACAGTTTAAATTCTTTATGGCCTTAAAAAATGTTTTGCTACGTTGAAAAGAATTTAAGCACATGATGCAATGAACAATGGTTGATTTAATGCAGTCTTTCTTTTATGCTAGCCTTAAAGCCCCCATATAAAGTTTAAATATATTTTCAAACTTAACATGGGGACTTTAAAACTCAGTCTACCAGCCTCTGTTTAACTTGCATACAAACTCATGCATTTAATGGCTTAATATATTCAGTGTGAAAAATTCCATGAACATGAATTAAGTTTATATTTGTGTTAAAGACTTGTTAAAGTTGTCATCAAAATACTGTCAAAAGTGCAGCATTCATTTAACTGACAAGTTGGAAAGACTTTTGTCTTATTAAACCTGTATGAAACAGTAAATAAACAACAGTATGATAAATATAATGATTTCCACTTACTATGTATTGTTCTCTTGATATCTGCAGTGTAATGAACTTGTGTTTTGTATAAATTATTATGGCAATCTAGGGAAGAGTTGGACTGTTATAAAAACATATGGCAAAAGTAAATAGATGAAAAAACAAGAAGATAATAGATAAATGATATGAATAAATTAATTATGTTCATAAAAGTAGGTGCAATAAAATGGCAAACCTACCAAACTACCACCCTTAAAATCAGGGGAATTTTTTCAAACAAGATAATCAGGGAATTCAGACAAAAATAAGAGATGAGCTATTTAGTGAAACCTGTATATAGTGAACATTTTTGCCAAGAAAAACATTGAAAAAACACGAGTGGAATGGGATGAAAATCAGGAAAACATTTTGTGGGTTGTTTGCACCACCCCTGTCCAAATTATTTGATCATCTCTATGAGTACTTTTCCTTTTCTTAAAGCATTGGCCTAACGTATGCACCTTTTTTCAAGTCGTTTGGTTTAAACTATCAAATGGAGGGATCGAGTTCAGTTAGAATTTTGACGAGAGGCAATTTTGCATGACTAGCCATGCACACTGCTCACCACCTGATTTAACCTTTATAAAATGTGTGCAATATAATGATTCTTTGAATGGTGGATTTCCTTGACACATTTTAGTCCATAAAGATCCATATATTGAATTTATTAAAGGATATGACAGAGTTAGTGAAGGGCTATAATTTATCTATTCTAAGCCATTCTGTTTTTTAAATTGATGAGGACCAGAAAAAGATTAATATGGGTCATAGTGCATAGAGGTAATAATAGTTAATTAGATTATTCACAAAGCAGTTGCAGAAATTCCATGTGAAGTCGCATATCTGACTCAATGTTCGCTACACACAGGATAATTCAATTAATTTTTAAGATTTAGTGTTCACAGTTCATAGTAGGTAGGTGTTCACTTTAGGAATGTACTTTAACACGGAAGTCAATGGGAGAAAATATTTTGCCAAGAAAAAATGTTCACTGTTGATAGGTGTTCACTAGGGAGGTGTGTTCACTAACACAGGTTTTGCTGTACATGTAGATGGGAAATTCTTCTAAAGACAGACACATCCAGGGAAAAAACAAAATGAAAAACCTCTTTAGAGAAACATAGGTTGGCAGGTATGTGATATGAGCATTACCATGATAGACTATAAATGGAGGAAAAAATATGATGATAATACATTGTAATTATAGCCATATTTGTTTCACCAGCTGAGTTAACAGGCTTTGTGATGTCTAGGTTTATTAGCAATAATCATCCCTTCAAAAACAGTTTTGGGATTAGAAAAAGTTAATCCATCCATCTATTCGTTAATATGATTGACCACACTTCCATATGTCAGAAGGGTGTGGGGCATAACCTGATTTCTTTAAAATTTACATTTGTAGTCCTCATTAACGTTGGCTGGTTTCAAAATGGCAGCCACTTTTTGTTAGATTTTCTGAAATTGCATTGTATGATGGTTTTCTGTAAAAATGCTCAACATATTGATTCAGTTCAAAATCATTTATTTCAAAAATATGGATGTAATTTTGTGCTTGAGAAAAGTTATTAAAAGTTTTTACTATTTTTTTAATGTAAATACTTGGAAGATACAACTCATAATCTATCATCAAGAGCATTATGTTAACAGCTGTATTAATCCCTTTATTAATCTAGGGTTGTCATACTCTATATGATAAATATGCTGTGCTTAACATCATTTCAATTTCAGTCTTCTAACAATGATCAGAATAATGATCAGTCATATATAGCACCATATATCATCTTGAACCTTTATTCCTTAAGTATACTGATTATGTAAGTTATTTACATGAAATTGTCCCCTGGACCTTATTTATTTATAAACAACTTCCCCTGGATCTTGGTTATTTACATGCAACTGTCCCCTGGACCATAGTTGCTTACATCCAACTGACCCATGGATTAGCTTAGTTACTATCTATTATTCAGAATCAAAGTTTCCATCTAGAAATAGATCTGGGATTGAGTCTAACTTGGCCATTAGATGATCAATAGAGTCTATAATTGGTGATACATCTGGAAGAGTGAACATATCTGATGTCAGATCTGGGAGTGAGTCCATAATGGCTGTAAGATCTGGATCTGAACCTGAATCTACTTCCTTAATGAATCTGAATACTGTCTTAGTGTTATCCTTATGGAGCCACTCTACTTCAAGGACTGAACCGATCTTGAGTTCTCTGTTGAAATGAAATGTATCAATTTGTTTCAATGTGTCCACCAATGAATGAAGTATATCAGGTTCTTTGATATCATCTGCTTTGAGGTCTTCCTGCAGAAGCATGTCCCACCAGGATGTCTCAGTGGTATGTTTCACATGTTGCATAATCCATAATAATACCGTACATTCATCAATACTGATTTTAAGTATAATCTTCCTCTTGGGATAATTTATATCTGGTATTTCATACTGGCTTGTATTAATAGTATAAATATCAGTATCAAGATCTTCACTTTTACTGCCATGTGTGTCTTCACTTTGGCTCTCACTCTCACGTGTGTCTTTACATTGACTTGATGTGTCTACACTTTGACTCTCATGTGTTTCTACACATTGACTCTCATGGGTGTCTACACATTGACTCTCATGTGTGTCTACACATTGACTCTCATGTGTGTCTTCACATTGACTTTCATGTGTGTCTTCACATTGAGTCTCATGTGTGTCTTCACATTGACTCTCATGTGTTTCTACACATTGACTCTCATGTGTGTCTACACATTGACTCTCATGTGTGTCTTCACATTGACTCTCATGTGTGTCTTCACATTGAGTCTCATGTGTGTCTTCACATTGACTCTCATGTGTTTCTACACATTGACTCTCATGTGTGTCTACACATTGACTCTCGTGTGTATCTACACATGGACTCTCATGTGTGTCTACACATTGACATTGACTCTCATGTGTGTCTACACATTGACTCTCATGTGTTTCTACACATTGACTCTCATGTGTGTCTACACATTGACTCTCGTGTGTATCTACACATGGACTCTCATGTGTGTCTACACATTGACTCTCATGTGTGTCTACACATTGACTCTCATGTGTATCTACACATTGACTCTCATGTGTGTCTACACATTGACTCTCATGTGTATCTACACATGGACTCTCATGTGTGTCTACACATTGACTCTCATGTGTGTCTACACATTGACTCTCTTGTGTGTCTACATATTGACTCTCATGTGTGTCTCCACATTGACTCTCATGTGTGTCTACACATTGACTCTTGTGTGTATCTACACATGGACTCTCATGTGTGTCTACACATTGACTCTCATGTGTATCTACACACTGACTCTCTTGTGTGTCTACATATTGACTATCTTGTGTGTCTACATATTGACTCTCCTGTGTGTCTATACTTTGACTCTCATGTGTGTCTACACATTGACTCTCATGTGTGTCTACACATTGACTCTCATGTGTGGCTACACATTGACTCTCATGTGTGTCTACACATTGACTCTCATGTGTGTCTTCACATTGAGTCTCATGTGTGTCTTCACATTGACTCTCATGTGTGTCTACACATTGACTCTCATGTGTGGCTACACATTGACTCTCATGTGTGTCTTCACATTGACTCTCATGTGTTTCTACACATTGACTCTCATGTGTGTCTACACATTGACTCTCATATGTGTCTACGCTTTGACTCTCACAGGTGTTGACAATTTGACTTTCATGTGTAAAGAATCGGCTGACTATTTCCTCAAGGCATTGTCCCACTTGATCATTCTTACAACCCTTCTGGTGGTGGAGCAGCAACATTTTATAGGAATACGAGGAAGAATCTGTTTTTATCTTAAGAATTTTGTTCATCATGTGATTTACATACTTAAATGCAAGGAATAAATGAAGGTGATTGCTTGTTAATGTATGAGTATCTGGGTCTGCTTGAGGACCTGGATCAATAAGTGATTCAGTCCAATGGGATTCTCCTCGACTCCCATCACACCTTGAACATTCCATTTTCCGGCGTTCACTCACCATAACACGCCTTCCTTGTGTAATCTTCATATTCTCCACTGCAAACGAGAGATCAACGTCAGTTGTGCAGATCGGGGCACCAATTCTAAACCAAATACTTGTAGCATGATAACCCTCATGGATGCTCAAACTTCCTAGTGGGTATGGAGATTCAGGGTCAACTTTGTGATCTTTCTCACCAATGAAATTCAATTCATTGCTCTCACTTAGATAGGATTTCATTCGAAGATTCAGCACTGAAAGAAAATTTGTGTTCAGTTTGCTAGAACCAGGATTGTTCACACCTGGCGGATTAGCTGTAAAATGCCAGTCAGGTAGTCTACTATGGAGATCTCCATATTTGACATTTATGAAACCATATCCCTGATCCACAAGCTCACAATTAACTCCAACCATCTCTACTTTGACTGCTTCATCACCAGACCATGTAAGGATAGGAATAAAGTCATATTCATTTGGAGATAAAATTTTAGTCTCTTCATATGAGCTTCCACGTCTGGCACAACTGTTTGTTTCAAATATCAGATTCGGTTCATCTTCATATTTTGGTGTGTGTTTGCCAAAATCGTAACATACTTTCTTCACAATGTTTTCTATATATTCTTTATTTTCTTCCAGTTCATCTGGTATGTATCTGTTTTTCACATTTACTTTTGATGATACATATTTTATAAATTCTGACAAGCGTTCTTGATTCTTTGATATAGAAGTAGGTATTTGGTAGTCCTTGAGAGTATCATAATTCTCAGGTTTAGGAAATGGTCCAATGAATTTAATATTGTTTTTCTTCAGCTTCAATGTTAAGTGTAGTTTTGCCATTTTGTAATATTTTTCAACAATATGTGTACCGTACTTTTAATGTTTACAGCCTTATTAAGCATTTAGAGCATACATGCTAACTTGTAAACAGGTCAAAGTCTATATTGATCTTGTGTTGTTGTTTCACATACTTCTGTTAATATGTTCACTGATCACCGATTTATCACTAATAAACAGTTTAGATTCTCACTCCCATTTTGGTTAATTGAAGTCTTTCTTGACCTAATGTTTGTTTGTGTTATTTATTTGCATCATCTACTATCTTCTTCATACTGTTTGTATTGCTATTGCGATGTACTGTATGTATATTGCTATTGCGCAGTTTACTGTAGTTGTACAGTGCATGATGTTTGGCATTATAGTTTTATCAATGTCAGAATGACTTTTGAATACTTGGCAGGCTATCATGATTTGTAAAGCTATCTGATAAAGGCAAACATTTTTCTGTTTTTATGTATTTCTCCTCAACATTTACAATGGACTTGATGTCCTTACAATTACATATTAGCTATACTCTCGGGGGGGGGGGGGCAGAAAAAATGTGGGCCCCTTAAAAAATTGATTTAAGGCCTATTTTCATTCTAATTTAGCCCAGTAATCCCTTAAAGGCATACTAATTGGGGCCTTAAAAATTTTGGGATCAATTTTTTTTGGGCCCACCCATTTAAGGGAAAGGTCATTTCATCATTTGAATTGAAAAATGATCTACATCAAAACAAGAAAAATATAACAAATCATTGGGAATTATATAAAGAATGCCTACATCTGTCCATCCATCTCTCTGAAACAATAACTCAAATAATATTAGCCCAATATCATTTACAATTCATAATGCATATCCCTTATGAAAGTTCAAGTTATGCTGGTCCAGGAGCTGATTTTGAAAATGGCCACAGGTTTCAAAATAGCTGCCATTTTAGTGTTGATTTAACAGTACTTTAGTTACAACTGTAATTTTAATATGTGTTGAGTCCAAAAGATTATACAATTGAACTTGATTTTATTGCTTCAGATATGGGAAGAGAGTTGAAGGTGATAGCTGGATTTAGATACTACGCTCCTAAGGAAGGTTCTTCACTGTTTGAAGCTATAGAAGAGATAGCAGAAGATGATCCAATTCCAACACCTTAGTAAGTAAACCTTAACTGTTGCTTGAAGCCCTTCTGTTTGCTACTCATACCTCATCTCAACAAGATGTTAGTGGTGTAGTTTGGGGTGAAGTAGGCTGGGAAGTAGGGGGTGAAGTAGGAGGTAAATTAGGGGGTGGAATGGGAACTGAAGTAGAAGGTCAAGTAAGTAGAAGGATGTGGTTCAGAGACTTGGTACAAGATTAGAGTCAACCCTCACTGAATTCCACTCTCATGACATGTATGCAATTGTTCATGCAATTTCTCCCTAAAATTGACTTGCCCAATTTAGAATAACTTCAGATGAGATATATGAGGGTTATGTTGTGGGAGGTTTGGGATATGGTGTTTATCCTGATTGAAATATAGATATTTTGTCTAGAGTCTAAGGTAAGATATCATATCAAATATCAAAATATCAAATATCAAAACCTTAGTTTCACATAACTATGAGTAACTACATATGGCTAGTGACATTTATTCAGCCTACTGATAGTCTACTGAGTGGGAACTACACTTCATCTTAGTTGACACATCATTTTTTCTCTTGCACTTTTATTTTTAAAAAATCCAAAAACGTACCTTCATTAAATTAAATTTTTTGGACCATATTGTTAACCATGTATGTATATTTCAGTGGCTATGACATAGTGCCCTACCCCCTGACAGATGCCATAGGAGAGGAGCCTCTGGGTATGTCTAAGTCTAATACTGTACTTACTGCACCAGTTATACAAGAGAATGCTGAAGAAGAGGAACATGTTGAACTGAGAACGGAAAATTCCATTCTTAAAATGGAAAATTCCACTCTAAGATCACAGAATCAGACTGAGGGTACCGCTTTGCTTCTTAAATTTTGTGCAGGATTTTATTTTACAATTTAATTTGATTAACCCTAAATTGTATCTAATGATAAATTTAATGGAAATATTTGTGTGATTCTACAATTTAACTTTTGCAAATGCTATGTGTTTGTGATAAGCAAATAGATAAAATCAACCAATAATATATTGTATCAAATGTGAAACAGCCCCTCAGGTTATTTAAGGTATCATTTGTATACAACTCAGTTTAATTTGGTTTCTAATGTGAAATTGCCCCTTAATTAGTTATTTAACATGAATTATTTGTTTTGTTTAATTTGATTATAATAAGTTTTAAAACGCTTTTTCAGTGCAAAATAACATGCGGAAACCTAACAGTCTGGTCTGTACCCTCAAATATAACATGTATAAGGGTTGAGGTTCAAAAATGTTAACACTTGTGGAAAAATAATGTTAATTTCATTCATGGTGTGAACCATTTAACCCATCTTTCATTTTATTCCTATAGCCAAAATTTAATATTTTGCCTAAACAAAATTGTAATTTTCCCCCTCCCCCTAATGAAGTAAACAATCTTCCACAACTGCTGACATTTTGACACCGTCCCTAATGTAACTTGAGTCTTTGTGTGTATAATTGTAAGTAATTAATACTAAGGTTGCATATCAGTAGTCATAAAATATGACAATACATAACATATGTACCATTTGGCTTGTATACACATGATATAATGCAGACATACATACTGTATAATTATAAATGCTATTATAAAGATACTATCTATGGACAGTGAAACCTTTCTAAAGTGAACACTTCTTGAACTAGAAAGACATTTTCACCTTCTGATAGAAACTTGGGCTATCCAAAGATTGGATTGGGAAAGTGTTCATTTTCAAAGGTTTTACTGTATTTGAATGTGAAAAAGTGATTTATTTCCATTTTCCAAATCTGAAATATTTACTCATATACCAAAAATTTAACAATTTTCACGAATGTTTTCAACATCTAAAATGTTATGGCTTATTTGAAATCCCTTCTCTTAAATTAAAGTATATTGACGTTTATGTTCAGATGAAAAGTTAGATGCAGAAAAAGATGAGAATGAGGCTGAACACGAGACAGAAGAGAATGCAACAAAAACAGATGAAGCCTCACCTCTGGAGGAGATTAAGGAAACTAAGATGGATAAACTTGACAGAGAGAAGACTGAGTTGAATAATAATGAGCGTGGTATGTTTTTAAGTTGAATCTCAGAATAGCAGCACTAATTAGGAATGAATGCATAATTAATATTTGTAATTCAAAAGATAACAAATTCAAATAATGACAAAAACATCTCAAAAAGCTTAAAGAGAGGCAAAACTGAAATTATAATTTTATTTAATTTTTTATTTTTCAGAAGTTGACATACCATTAGAAACACCACAAGTCCCTCCTATGACCACGCAGCGCACAGTCAGTGGCAAGGTAGTCTGGGAAGACATCATTTTAGCTCCTCCCCCTCCAATGTATCGACCATTTGCAATCATGGAAGAGGAGAAAAAGGAAGAACTTGACAAGAAAGGGAAAAAGAAAAAAGAGAAAAAGAAAACGGAAAGTGACACAGGTAAGATCATATAAAATGTTGTCTCATGATTTGTGTTTGTGTATTGTTTTATATTGTTCTAATTTATCCTGCCATTGACCTATTCATACATGTATGTGTTATCCCTGTATCACTTTTGTGTGTTATATTAACTCTTGCATTGTAGACAATTGTTTCTTGTGTAAAGTAGAAACTTTTATTTAAAAGAGACTTGTATATGGTAGAGACTGATGTATAATAGAGACTTGTGTATAGAGATTACCCCAAACCTGACATGGGGAGAGGGCCAACGCCACAGATATAAGATACATTTTAGTACATAACCGAATTGACTGGTGGTCACTCAGGGCTGAGTTATGTCCAAAAGTCCAAACCATGATAAAAAACATATTTAGAACATATTTGTCTATTATAGATTTGTATACATGTACCAAAGAGATGAAATGTATTATAGATATGTAGACATATTTTTAATGCAATAGAAACTTGTTTATTATAGATTTGTGTATAATAGAGATTAAATGTAGAGATGCATGCACTTTTCCACATGTACAGGGTGTCCAAAAAAACAGGACCGTAAGAAAGTTGAATAATTCGGTCAATTTTGCATATTTTGCCTTGTACATTTAATACAACAGAGACTTATTTATTACAGAGGATAGCAGACCTGGTACAAGGTTAACCAGTGAGTCAGTGTGAAGTAGTTGCATATTTTACAGTTTATAATCCATGGATGAAATGTCATGATATTGTGCTCATGTTTTTAAACTTAGAATAAAAAGGAAAGAATGGAATTAGCAAGGAATGCAATACACAGGCATGTAGTGAACACTCTAAATTGTATAGAAATGCCAAGAAATCAGGCAGTTCATTCAAATGTTTTTGAGAAATGTTGAGAAATAAACGTGACAATTGACATTTAAACCATGGATCCCATTTTCACATTAACTTCAAGCAAAGGTGGTCATTGTTATCCATGCTGAATCTCAATCAAAAAGAACCCTTTTAAAGAGTTAAACTTCATCTATCCTCTGCAAATTAGAGATACTATGTTGATATATCCAATATTCAAATATCTACACAATCAGAATTGAATTTTCACAGAATTTTATGCTCTCATAGTCTGAGGAGCTGACATTGATGTCACAAGTGCTGGAACAGATAGTAGAGTTGTCCCAAAAAGAAAATTCAATATATCTGTTTACATGTAATCCGAACACCCCTGGGATCGCCTAAAAGTGTTCTGATTAGCAGGTGTTCACATTTCAAGGTTTTATGAATAGGTATGTCAATGGAAAATTTTGGTCTAAGAAAAAATGTTCACGTTGAGAGGTGTTCACATTATTAGAGAGTCCAGGTTTCACTGTATACCCCCTCAGACCTCACTCTCTGTAGTACATACAGAATGGAAGTGGACAACTCTACTTTTTGTTCCAGAGCCTGTGATTTATGACATATTCATTCTGTCGTTACCATGGCAGCAACTGTTGGGGTTATTAAGATCATTTTATCATCAAAAAAAACTGTAAAAGCGTGCCGGAGCATAGTATTGTAGATACACTTATTTTGCTGCCAAATTGAAATTGAGCAATCTGCCAAACTAAGTAGCATCAAATTAAGTGTATCTATGGAAATTACTTCTCACCAGTAGACCCCAGGGTAACTTAAATTAAAAAAGCATGTGATATCATGACCACCTAGATCAGATATTCATGTGAATTTAGGGGTATTGTTTACAGCTTTTAGGTGATGGTTGCTTATTTTAATTTACTGTAGAATGTTTTCACATATTTAATTTTTTAATGGTAAATTGATATATTTTGTTAATGCTATTTTTTGTTTTGTTTCATGAATTTAATATTATTTTGCCTGAAATGATTATACGAAATACATTCAATGAACTCCATATCTTTTTGATGAAATTCTTATATGATGAACTCTATGAAATTTTGGATGTTGTCACTTTGCTGTTTTTATACTATTCTTTACAGATGAAAGTGTTAGCCGACCAGACACAAGGATGTCCAGTGTCACCTTGAGTGAGTCAGGGAACTCTGGGAAGAGAACACCTTCTTTGCTTTCAGTGATAATCTGAAATCATTTAGCATTTTTGCTTCTTTATTCTTTGCTTACTACTGAATGTTGATATTCAGTGATGCACAATTTATGATTCAATGATCCACAAATCTGATTCAATGATGTACAATTTTCTATTCAATGATGCACAATATTTCATTCAATGATATACAATATTTCATTCAATGATGCACAATATTTCATTCAATGATGCAAAATATTACATTCAATGGTGCACAAAATTTCATTAAATGATGCAAAATATTTCATTCAATGATGCAAAATATTACATTCAATGATGCACAATATTTCATTCAATGATGCACAGTATTTCATTCAATGATGTACAATATTTCATTCAATGATGCACACTATTTCATTCAATGATGCAAAATATTACATTCAATGGTGCACAAAATTTCATTAAATGATGCAAAATATTTCATTCAATGATGCAAAATATTACATTCAATGGTGCACAAAATTTCATTAAATGATGCAAAATATTTCATTCAATGATGCAAAATATTACATGAAATGATGCCCAATATTTCATTCAATGATGCACAATATTTCATTCAATGATGTACAATATTTCATTCAATGATGCACAATATTTCATTCAGTGATGCACAATATTTCATTCAATGATGTACAATATTTCATTCAATGATGCACAATATTTCATTCAATGATGCACAATATTTCATTCAATGATGCACAATATTTCATTCAATGATGCACAATATTTCATTCAATGATGCACAAAATTTCATTCAATGATGCACAATATTTCATTCAATGATGTACAATATTTCATTAAATGATGCACAAAATTTCATTCAATGATGCACAATATTTCATTCGATGATGTACAATATCTCATTCAATGATGCACAGGTATTTGTTTGCTTCTTCACCCTTGCCACCTTTCACCAAAGAATCATGCCAAACTGATCCATTTTGCTTTTTTAGATTTTGTAGTTCCCTCTGCATAGAGTATAATGAGGTGGAAGAATCATGTGTATTTCCCTCATCACATATTAAGCCCAATATGACGCACATTCTATTACCTGCAAAACAAATACCTAAACATATTATTGCTGTCACTCTAAAGCCAATCAAACATTTTCAGGAAATGCTATTTGAATTTTTGTCAGGAAATATAATTTTAATATGGGCCATTCTACTTTTTAGTAACATCATCATTCCAATGCTTCTTATGAGTTGTGGCCACAGTTTCAGAATGCAAATCAAAATAGTGTTGAATTGTACCACTAACAAGGAAAACATTATACAGGCTACTATTTAATAATCCAAGACTACTTTGAAGCAGTACACCTCACTTCTGATGATATGTACAGATATTCAGTTCCATCCACTTTTTCAATATTGATGTTGTTGTGGAATGGATCATTCCTGATATAGCTGAGAGGAAGGGACTTTGTCTATGTCAAAATGATACTGTAACTGTAACGTTTTGTGAAAAAAATGAAGTTAATTTCATTATGGTTAAACCCAACCCCACCCTCCGTCATGTAACAAAATTTGATTTTAAGTTCAATCTTTATTTATTCCGTCTGTCGTTAGAAATTGGCTTCACTCTTCCACGACTGATGAAAATTGGACTCCCTCCGTAATATTTTAAAAATGTGCCATTTCTTGTTTCAGATGAAATGAGCCGGCCCAATACACAGCAATCATTGACCAGTGAGTGAGGTGTCCCCTGCTTATGCTATATACCATGAATCTCTCTTTTAGATTTGCCTTGCCATTATAGAATTAAGACAGCTTTTACTAATATTTTTTGTAGAATTATTGTAGAATTAGACCCATTTCCTCACACCTTGGAGTAGAACCTGCCATTATGTGTAGCGATGTAAAATTTAGATTTGTTATATTTTTGACACTTGCAACATGTTTATATTGCAGCTTTTTTTTCCCTAGGCCTGTAGCTTTAGAAAATCAGCAACTTTGTTGACCTTTAGTATATTCCCAATCCTTAGCTATCGAGTCAAATCCTCAGCTATCTAGCCAAATCCTTAGCTTTTGAGCCAAATCTTCAGGTATCGAGTCAAATCCTTAGCTATTGACCTAAATCCTTAGCTATACAAAGCTGCAACCATCGTGCCAAATCCTTAGACATTGAGCAAAATCCTCAGCCATGGAGTCAAATCCTCAGCTTTCGAGGAACCATAGAAATTCTTTTACTGAGCCTATTTTTGTAGATAAGAAAATATTGAAATATATAATAGTGTTTTTTCAATCAATTAACATTTTAGTAAATAGAGCAAGTCACAAAAAATAAAGATTACGGTGGAATAAGTAGTAATAATATGTCAATGAGCTCCTTAACCCATTTTCTGTTCTTTTAATCCAGATGAGAGTAGCAGACCTAACACACGCACTACCAAAAAGGAAAAATCAACCGTTAGTGTTGCATCTACTGTTGATGAGAAAGTTGTACAATTAGGTAAGATTAGTGTTTGGAAATATATTTCTTTTGAAAATGTTTTCACCATCTTATTGTTTTACACAGGTATTATCCAGATCCTGCCATTCAGTTAGTGTCAGAAATAATACCATATTCGTTAGAATTGAAAAAGGGGACATCCACTTTTTAAAAACTATTGCCAGATAACCTGAAAAATTGATGGATTATTCTGAAATAAAGTCAGATCTATTTTTTATTAAAACTTTTCAGAAAACAGGATGTCCCTTTAAGGCATGGTACTTTTAGCAACTTATAACCTATAGTAGTATGATGGGTTTCGGTGATATCCTTGATTTAAATCAATGTTAACTTAGGAGGATTTTAAGCTATGTTTATGACCTTCATATTCATTGTTCACATGGAGAGATGTTTACAGGTTTTACTGTATAAATACAACTATGTAACTGTGTAAAACATTTTGGGACATTCTCATTTATTTTGGTATCCCAGTTAAAATGGATTTTGTCATCATCGTTGATGACATCACCTACCCCCCTTTCCTGAATCGTTATCTGGACTCAGTCTACATGCAAGGTTCAATGATGGTTGAACCAAGGATTAAGAGCCTTGTACATGAATCTATGGGCTCCTTGTAAATATAAATGTAATGAATCACACATATTTCTTCTATTCACTGTTGTCAGTATCATGTTAGTTAATTTTATTTATTGTTAATTGTAACATAAGTTGATATGTTTCACCAGACTTTTGCTTTGATTATTATATGTAAACGACCAGACTTTTGCTTTGATTATTATATGTAAACGATAAAGATGATGAATAATATATAGTAATTTAAGTCATCTATTAATAAGCATATTCTTTCTTTACTATGTCATATCTTTGTTCTTTATATGCTAGTCAAGTTGTAAAAATAGATACATGAACCATCAAACGTGGCGCAATATGAAATTTTATTTAAAGGGTCAGTGAAAAATATTTTGATGTGATACCCTAAGAATATTGCAGTAACTACATGTATATGGAATAAAAGTGACTTTATGATGATTTTAGATAAATACTACATGTCATGATAATTAGAATTAATGATAATTGTAGGTGAATCTGATAATATTAAGTAAATATGTGATAACTGTGGGAAAATGTGATGATACTAATGAATATAAGTGAATATGTGATAATTCCAAGTGAATGTGATAATGATAAGTAAATATTTGATCATTCAAGGTGGTGATAATATTAAGTGAATATGTGATAATTGTCGGTGAATATGATAATACTAAGTGAATTTGTGATAATGATAGGTGAATGAGATAATTGTAGGTGAATATGTGATAATATTAAGTGAATACATGATAATTGTAGGTGAATATGTAATAATGGTGTCAGATACAACCAATCCCCCTTTTCTTGGAGTTACCTTAGAGACTGCTTTTGCCTTGGTCAAAGTGGAGAAGAAGAAAAGAAAGAAATCTAAACCAAAGAAAGTTACTCCAGCGTAAGTACCCAAAACATGCATTTAGACATCTACAGAAGCACTTATTTAAGAAAACACACTTTTGAGCGGAATTCCTATTCTATGCATGTCATACCCTAGATTATCTAATTTATTACATCTTGGATCTTAGAGGAGTTTCTTCCTTACATCCCAACAACTCTTTACTTATGAACACAATGCCCATCTGTTTTAAGCACAATTAAAAATGAACTATTATCTATTTGCATTTAACTCTGATATTTGAGATAAGTTTGATATAACAGATTTTACCTGATATGCCATCTTCTTTTGTACCTCTTATAAGATTGGTGTCCAATTGTTAACAGTTTTGGAGGCATGAAAATTTCATTGGAAGGAATGTTGATTTTTAATTAAACCATGACTGTTGACAATTGAACAACATTGCTTATCTCTAATGTTTTCTTGTGTACTGTATATATGTATTTGTATGTTGGATTGTGTTTTACTTCAACATGTGCTGTAATTAATGAAATGTATTTGTTGGTTAGACTTTCAACCCGAACCAGGTATTTACACCAGTCTATACTATCCCTCATAGATGTCTCTATATTGTATTGCATAATATTCTATGTACAAAGAGAAGGTATGCCCCATAGTTTACAGTAGGCCTTCTCTGAATCATTTTGATTAGTCCATCACGTGTTTGAAGATTCAAGATATTGCAAATCGCCATTTCAAATAAAGCATTCATTGTATATAGAATATTCCAATTTGTGATTTTTCATGAAGATCAAGGATTTAAGGAATAACCTATTGTGACAAATCATGGGGCTTCTCTCTGATATCTCTCTAATATGTTCAGTGGTATCTCTCTTGCATGTACATGGGAATCTCTGGTATGTTCAGATGTATCTCTTTTGTATGTACAGGAGTATCTTTCTTGTGTGTTCAGAGATATCTCTATGTATGTTCAGGGGTATATATCTTGTATGTACAAGGGTATCTCTGTAGTATGTACATGTACATGGGTATCTCTTGTATATTCAGTGGCATCTCTTGTATGTACAGGGGTATCATTTGTATGTACAGGGGTATCTCTGTAGTATGTACATGGGTATATCTTGTATGTTCAGGTGTATCTCTTGTATGTTCAGTGACATCACTTGTATGTACAGGGGTATCTCTTGTATGTTCATTGGCATCTCTTGTATGTACAGGAGTATCTTATGTATGTACAGGGGTATCTATTGTGTGTTCAGTGACATCACTTGTATGTACAGGGGTATCTCTTGTATGTTCATTGGCATCTCTTGTATGTACAGGGGTTTCTCTATTGTATGCACAGGGGTATCTCTCTTGTATGTACAGGGGTATCTCTCTTGTATGTACAGGGGTTTCTCTATTGTATGCACAGGGGTATCTCTCTTGTATGTACAGGGGTATTTGAATTATATATACAGGGGTATCTCTTGTATGTTCAGTGACACATCTTCCCGGCATATCTTGTATGTACAGGGGTTTCTCTATTGTATGCACAGGGGTATCTCTCTTGTATGTACAAGTGTATTTGTATTATATATACAGGGGTATCTCTTGTATGTACAGGAAAACATGTATACCTTATTCAGTGAACACTTTTACTTCTTAAGCACTTACATCTAAGTAAAGTAGATGCACTAGTATTACATGGGAGTCAATAAAAATGGAAACAATTTTACTACTATTTTACTACACAGTGTTGAACCGGGAGATTCCTATGAATATAAAACAGAAATGTTACTTCTAAGAAAGATGTTTTAGAATATGTGTTCACTAACAGGATTCACTGTTCCATGTAACAACTTAATATTATTTGCATAATCCCCTCTTGCCTTCAGTGGTCACAAACCTGTCACAAAAGTACAATGTTAAAGTGGCACTGTCTGCTTTATCAGTCTTAAATCCTTTATTTTTTATTAAGATTTTTTTAATTGAGTTGCAGATCTGCATTTGTAGCATTTTACCTACCTATATAACCTCAACGGTGTCTATCATATGTTCCCCTTAAAACAAAAACTCAACCTATTCATCATTTTAACAAGACAATTCAATGATTGTTATGTTTGTAGTGAACAATAATTTCCTAATATACTGTGTATTTTCCCATTGTGTAAAAGTCACATGTTGTTAACCCTGGTTGCCATGGTAATTCCTCATTGTAACCATGGTGATCATAATGTATGTTTATTGTAGCTCACGTCCTACCTCTAAAGTTCATTCCCGATCTGGCTCTAAAATGTCTAACATATCAGATGTATCTTAACACCTATAGGGTAAGGTTCCTCATATTTTGCAGCACCCTTGCCTGTAGCTTCGCAAGTTTTAAGCATAGTGACCCAATTTAATTGTGATTCCTCATTTTAAGATTTAGACTGCAAAAGTTCATGATTATGATTCATGATTTTGGTTTAGTATTCATTAAAACATATAAAACATCAGAACAACTATATTTTATACTTACAAAAAGAAACTTTAAATTGGGTCATATTAGTTTTGATAACTTGTACTTTTTAAAAAGTTTTAATCTTTAGCCATGGCTTTTTGTTAATTATTTTTAGCATTTTGAAGTATACATTAGTGTAGGGTGTCTCATAAGAATTTCAGATCATTCAGGTCTGTAAATTTTCAACTAGTATAATTCACTAGATATTACACAGTCTTTTATGTTTTTTCAAATCTAATTTCGCAATTGTACTGTAAATAGTGATAATTTGGCACAACAGGGATTACATTTGGCGTTTTCACTTAATTTTCTGGATATTGGTAACCATGGTAAACTGGTTATCCATATTGGTAGGAATTGGTGAATTGCCAAATTTAAGCATCTGCCAAATTGTAGTATATTATAGTAATTTATTGAAAAATTAGTTATTGGCCTCCATCTCATTGATGCATTGTGCAATGTTGAGAATAGTGTTTGTTTGCTCAACGAAAGTGGACCACTGACTTCAGGCCCGTAGCCAGCTTTTGCCAAGGGGTTCACATTATAGAAATTCCAGGCAGGTTCATATTTGATCATTTCGGCCCAAAATTGCTTGGAAAGAGCTCAGAATTGTGAAAATTGGCCAGGGGAGTGCTAGCTTCACCTGAACCCGCTCCCCTGACTACGGGCCTAGACTTGAAACAAAACTACATTTGGGTAAAAAGATACCTTGATCACTAGCCCTTTTTTGAATGTACTGCTTTAGAAATGCTTCATAGTTTAGGAGCTTCAGTTTATCTAAATCACGAAAATTGAATATTATATTTTTACTGTTTTAAAATGCGTTTTAAAGCGTTAGAATACTAAGGTATTATGGCCTGTGTGTTTGATAATGGCATGTTCCTTAGAAATTTATTTTTATCTACATTTTATATATTTTTAAGGTTAAAATTTTTATATATTTCAAAATAGTTTTAGAAGGCCTAAGTAAATACCAACATAACCTCCCTTGTATGAACTTGTGCAAATTAAACAAATTGGTGTGAAACATGCAATACTAATTGCCAAAGAACATGTATAATTATTAGTGCAATGTCTATTCTGAGGCAGACTGTCCCTTTAAAACACTGCTCAAATCTTATTGAAATCTCACTTTCTCACTAATAATACAGGTTCTTATATGGTACTGATTGTAATTTTGTACCGTATACCATATATCTGTTATGAACCGATTCTGTCACTTTTTGTGTTCGATCACATTAATGTCTTGTTTTTTTACGTGTTATACTGACGTGCCTTTGCTACAAAGCTTTTTCTCAATATACTTCTCAACGAAGCAATTTACGAGTAACCCTGATGGGTAACAGGTACCATTGAAACAAAATTATGAAATGTGAATAAAAAAATATTTTATATTTTCAGCCAACCGTAAGGATATTTTTAATTGTTGTTTTGGCTTACTTTAATACTAACAGAATATGTGCATTGTTCAAATCTGATTTTTAGTTATATTTTATTTTTTGCTTTTTTCATTTCAGATTTTATTTTTTAGTTTAATTATTTGCACATTGTCTTGTTCATTAAGGTGGGCCTAGTATGCAGGTCTATGTATTCAAAAGATTACATTTTCCTCTTGGTCTACCTTAACATGGCAGCAAATGATAGAGTCTGTAAATGTTGGAACCAATCACTTTCTATGATCATGCTTATTATGTCCCTGCGGATTTGAATTTTAAATGGGACATCTGTAAAGACATTGATATGTCTGATAGGATTTGGTCAGATTTATAATGTAGAGATGTCAAAATTCAATTAGATTGACAACTTGAAAAATTTTATGAGCAAAATGTATTGAACAAATTTTTTTCAGAAAACTGGTCTCTAGTCTATCGTTTGTTGCCCCATTTAAGCTTAAGTTGAAATAAGGCAAAATTGAATTTATTTTATCATGTAGTTTTATATATGTATTGTGCGTCTTGTGAACTACAGTTAGGTCAATCAAAATTGCATTCGTTTAGTATTTTGTTTAGATCCATTAAAAATTACAATAAGTTCAATAGAAAAATATTTTTGTGATTTTATTCTTCTGATGTATATTTTTCCAGTGACCTTGCCTTACAAATGTGACCTTGTCTTAATGTGACCTCACCCACTGATTGACTTTTCTTTTGACCTTGACCTAGAAAAACGTTGACCTACAAATGTGACCTTGTTCTTTATGCTGATTATTTTTTCCTGTGACCTTGACCCGTGACCTACAAATGTGACTCTGCATTAACCATTGAAAGGTTAACTGCCTCTTTGTGAAACTTCCTTTGATGGACAAACATGACTTTGAAGGCCAAGCAAGACAGAGCTCTTATCGCTGACATTTGGTGGTCATGTGATTTGGTGGATATGTGACCTTGTACACTAAAAATTGTTTAAATTTTGTTATGGAATTAATTTTGGTGAAATTGTTGATGTATTTGCTTGTCATTGTTTGTAATATTTATGTATTTGCTTTTGTTTGCTTGAATGATTGTTTCAGTGTATACTAAACAAATCAGTTTTTATTGGCCTAAGTTGATTTCTGAACTTAAATTATATTAAAAAATAAAAATCCATAAATTTTTCAATGGCCATGCAACAGCCTTATGATTTCATTTTTATTATTGATCTGAATTAAATTTCCAAATAATTTTACAATTTTTTGAATAATTAGAATATGTTTTGATGTTGATTGGGCAGATTGATGCATGTTTAAAGGTTATCCTCCCAAATATCAAATAAATGCTTTGTTTTTCTACAGGTGGGATACAGGTCGGCATATCGCAACATCCATGGCACGCGTCAAAGTGGAAAATTCCCCGATTCCAGATCTCAGCCCAATCCCTACTTAACCAACTAGCTTGGTGGTTTGGATGAATAGGATAACAAAATTGACATTTTACATTTTGGTTATATGGAAAAATGTTAAAAGCTTTCAACTTGTATAAAGGAGATGATAAAATGCAGGAATAGCCTGGTTTTCTGAATCTAAACTCATACAAACAAGATGTCAGTGCAACCATGATAACCTGAGATTTCTGCACAGCACAGAGCTAGCATCTTATTCTTAGTCTCTCATTTTATTTTAGTTTCTTTTGTAGCACGCTGTGATGCACAGAGCAATATCTATATATACTGTTATTTTGGTTCATTTGGTTTCTGCATTGTTTTATGATTTTGAAATATCTGATTATGAAGTTATTGTGAAAAAACTGCCATGTTACTCTATCGAGAGATAGATTACTTTGGCATCACCTTATATTTGCTAAAACAGGATCAAGAATGAATAAAAATTATTTTGACCACAACTTCTTATTTCGAATCTTATCGCCATTATCAACCAAAGTAGGCAACCATGGTTACAGTATATATTCCACTGCACTGTCTGTAGGCCTCATTAGCATCTACCTGTATGCCTTATAGTACTACATGCCTGATATGATGCTATCACTGTCTGACATGACACATCTTGTTGTTTCAGTACATTTTATTTTTACTTTTAGGTGCATTTTCCTTCATTTATTTATTTAATTTCCACAGTTTGTTTCTAATCTGTGTGCTGTCCACTGTCGCATATCACAATGCTTTCTGTAAAATGTTTAAATCTTATTCGAGCTAGGCGATTGGGCGCCGTAACCACGAGGTTGCGAGTTCGAGACGCATGTGCTCCTTGTGTTTATTCATTTATGATTTATGACAAATTATTTATCTCACATGCATGGAGTTCATGAGCCTAATTTGCACATATTTTTTTACTTGTTTTGATTATTTCTCAGTTTTGCACAATGTTACTTTACAGATGGGATACAGGGATACACATTGCCAAGTCAATGAGGGCATCCATGAGCAGCGAACCCCCTCCTGCCATCACGCCAATATTGAAGGGAGCCAAACAGACAACACCAAAAACATATAAATTCAAATTTGAGGCTGATTCTGAACCAGATGAAAGTGATGATGATGGGAAATAGATTGTGAATTGATTAAAATGTCTAATGTCATCCCCTATTTATTGTCATAACCCATGTGTATACCCCTTCTTGGCAATATGGTCATGTAAATTTTTAAATCCTCGGGAATGTTAGCATATGCTGAATTTTCCATTCTGTTGATTTATGTTGTATATCATTGTAGATCCTGACCTACACTGTATGTATCCCCTCTAGAAGATTAGTGACCATCTTTATCTGTATATACCCCAGACAACTGCGACTCTTGGACCAACTGAACAATTTCCTGATTTCCTAGCTGTCTTTGTGACTGAAATAATAGCATAGACTCTGCACCTTAACAATCTATTCTACTTTATTATTATTTGCTTGCATTCAACTGAGTTCTACCTCAATATTATGTATTATGGGTGGTATCCACATCTAATTCACCTAGTAAGGTGCCCAACCTCAGCGAATAATTAAGGTGTGGCTACTACTTATGAATATGAAGAATTGGGGCCTTTAACTTGTCTTCATCGCACTATTTTGACTGATTTGATTCTAAAAGCGATAACAAATATATAAGAAACATAACAACCCCAGTGTTTACCTAACCACTTTTTCTGAAGTCCACTTTGTAACTCTCTAAGCCTGGTTTACACTGGCTAGTCTTTTCATAAGTCTTCTTCGCAAGTATGCAAGAGTCCTCTAGACCTCTGTGAGGTCTGGATATAATATCCTTGCAATACCAACATATGACTGGTAGGGATCAAAGATGACTGCTCATTGAAAACCAGGCTTTAAAGGCTCTTGTTTAGACATTTGACATTTTTAGTATATTAAAGGGTCTTGTTTATGATAAATCTATTTTCAGCTCATTTATAAGTCAATTAAAATATTTTTCACGAATTTTAACCTTATTTCATGTATTTCTTTTCAACAATACTAGTTTTAATGATCAATCAAATTTTTGTGATAGAAAATTTGTAATCTGAAAATAATACAGGATTCAAAATATATTTCCAATGACTATTGTTAGATTTGAAATTAGGAATCTTCGAAGTGATACTTTATTGTACATTTATATAAACAAAACGAACAAAAATGTGTCAGTTACTGTACATATCGATTGTTATGTGAATGTATTATTATATTTATTTGTAAATATTGTATAAAAGAAGCAAAAATTATTTGATACATAATATTTTGATATTTTATCCCATGTTAATATAGCATGTCTGTTGAGATGTACATTTTAAAAAAGCATAAATACTCAAGAATTGAATGTACAAACTACTGAGCTATACATATCTGACATATAGAATACACAATGTTTGGAAACTATACAATTGTTTTTATGTTAAATTGGTCTATTGATTTGTTCCATCTAAAAAAAATGTTCTTGATTTAATTCATTTGATAAAATGGACAGTTCGCTTCTGTCACAACATGGAAATCACAAACTGTAAATTGGACCATCCATAGACTTTGTAACATACTTTTCTGTAAATATGAGCTTGACAAATTGCCTACATATGAGTATTTAATGAATTAATTGCCTTTTTAAGAGGTACATGGGGTCTCTGTTGACATTTGCAGATGTTTCATTGTGTGATAATCTCAAGAGCTATTTATTTTTGGGCATGCTGGGTAAATTTTAAGGCAGCCATTTTTATGGAAGATATTGTTTTTCCTGATCCTTATTTTCCTAAATGTCTATCATACACATTATAAGATACCCATAGCATCAATCATACACATTACCTTACTGAATTGCAGGTCTATATGTCACAGTATATACCCCTGGCATTCCTATTACATTGGTTACCATGGTGACCTGCTCTCTGTGGTTCATACTAACATATATGGGGTAAGAGATCGCATCTTCTGCCCTTGTTAAGTCTCGAAGGAAATTACCATCAGAATTTAGGAGCTTAGTTTTTTGATTGATCATGTCAGCTACTATAACACAACCTAGCTTGTCTACACAAATACTCTTAGGACGAAAGTCCTCGTTATCATCATCTAATTCAGTGTTGTAGTCAAATATTAACTCCCCAGACTCTTTGAAGCATGAGATGGACTGACCTTTATAATCAACTACAAACAGGTCATTTTTGTCATTCACTGACATATCTTCAAGGATTGAAATTTATGTTCATGCTTCCTCTTTTTGGCACCTTCTGTCTCAACATCCACTTGGTATATTGAGTTGTTCTCATTATCTGCCACTAACAAACCTTTTCCTTGATTGACAAATGCAACTACGCTTGGAATTGCTATGTATGGTAATTTAATATCTTTGATATGCTTTCCTTCATTGTTAAATAGTTTCACCATGGCAACTCCATTGATCATGCACGTAGAGAGGTATTTATTTTTGGGTATGCCGGGTAAATTTTAAGGCAGCCATTTTTAAGTAAGATATTGTTTTTCCTGATCCTTATTTTACTTAAATGTCTATATCATACATATTAAGATACCCGTAGCATCAATCATACATGTTACCTTACTGAATAGAAGGTCTGTATGTCACAGTATATACACCTGGCATTCCTATTACATTGGTTACCATGGTGACCTGCCCTCTGTGGTTCATACTAACATATATGGGGTAAGAGATCGCATCTTCTGCCCTTGTTAAGTCTCGAAGGAAATTACCATCAGAATTTAGGAGCTTAGTTTTTTGATTGATCATGTCAGCTACTATAACACAACCTAGCTTGTCTACACAAATACTCTTAGGACGAAAGTCCTCGTTATCATCATCTAATTCAGTGTTGTAGTCAAATATTAACTCCCCAGACTCTTTGAAGCATGAGATGGACTGACCTTTATAATCAACTACAAACAGGTCATTTTTGTCATTCACTGACATATCTTCAAGGATTGAAATTTATGTTCATGCTTCCTCTTTTTGGCACCTTCTGTCTCAACATCCACTTGGTATATTGAGTTGTTCTCATTATCTGCCACTAACAAACCTTTTCCTTGATTGACAAATGCAACTACGCTTGGAATTGCTATGTATGGTAATTTAATAGCTTTGATATGCTTTCCTTCATTGTTAAATAGTTTCACCATGGCAACTCCATTGATCATGCACGTAGAGAGGTATTTATTTTTGGGTATGCCGGGTAAATTTTAAGGCAGCCATTTTTAAGTAAGATATTGTTTTTCCTGATCCTTATTTTACTTAAATGTCTATATCATACATATTAAGATACCCGTAGCATCAATCATACATGTTACCTTACTGAATAGAAGGTCTGTATGTCACAGTATATACACCTGGCATTCCTATTACATTGGTTACCATGGTGACCTGCCCTCTGTGGTTCATACTAACATATATGGGGTAAGAGATCGCATCTTCTGCCCTTGTTAAGTCTCGAAGAAAATTACCATCAGAATTTAGGAGCTTAGTTTTTTGATTGATCATGTCAGCTACTATAACGCAACCTAACTTGTCTACACAAATACTCTTAGGACGAAAGTCATCATTATCATCATCTGAGTCGGTATTGTAGTCAAATATTAACTCCCCAGACTCTTTGAAGCATGAGATGGACTGACCTTTATAATCAACTACAAACAAATCATTGTTGTCATTCACTGACATATCTTCAATGGATTGAAATTTATGTTCATGCTTCCTCTTTTTGGCACCTTCTGTCTCAACATCAATTTGGTATATTGAGTTGTTCTCATTATCTGCCACTAACAAACCTTTTCCTTGATTGACAAATGCAACTACGCTTGGAATTGTTATGTATGGTAATTTAATATCTTTGATATGCTTTCCTTCATTGTTAAATAATTTCACCATGGCAACTCCACTGATCATGCACGTAACTGCTGCAATATTATTTGGGCTACATGTGGCGTGCCATACCTTTGATAATTCAACAAGAACTGCAGTGACCTCACATTGCTGATCACATAACACTGCCTTAGTAGACCCATCTTTGTCATTTACAACCATTACTTGAGAACCATTGCTAAAGTACTCGGTGCTCCAAATAAACCTGAACCCATAACTAATTTCCATTTTTTCTATTTTGATTATGTCTAAGGTCGAGGGAACACTTAATACTAAACCTGACCTGCCTAAATGTGTGCTTTCTGGCTGTGCTAGAACTCCTGGTATAGAGGGTCTTTCATATTCTGAGTTATCTTTAGCTACTTGGGATAATTGGAAATCTGATGGCTGGCTCTCTGACCATCCTAAATCTGTGCTTTCTGGCTGTGCTACAACTCCTGGTATAGAGGGTTTTGCATATTCTGAGTTATCTTTCGCTACTTGGGATAATTGGAAATCTGATGGCTGGCTTTCTGACCATCCTAAATGTGTGCTTTCTGGCTGTGCTACAACCCCTGGTATAGAAGGTAACTTGTTTTCTGAGTTGCCTTCAGCCACTTTGGGTAATTGGGGCAATCCTTTATCTTTAAGATTACTTACACTTTTATCTATATCTGTATTATGATCAGTTAACATAGCAATACTGTCCGAACCATTGATCTCATACTTATTTTTGAGCTCTTGTACCATAGGCACTATCTCACTTACTGATTTCTTCGCAAAAGCAAAGTTGTCTTCATGAAGACCTTTGGGATCAATCTTATTAGCAAGTGCTAAATGTTGAGTAGCTTCACTGAATGCTAAAGCTTCAAATTGATCTCTAACTATATTAGCAAGGTGAATATTGTCTCTTTTAAGTATATCAATAAAGTCATCAAACGCAGCAACATCTCGAGTAAGGAGCTTGTCCAAAAAATCTCTCGATTGTTCTCTGTTTGTTGGCTTTGACATTATTTCTTCTTGCATTTGATTTGTGATAACTCCTTTGGAATATATGGCATCAATGATGCCGCTCATTATCAAATCGTCAACCAATGGCACTCGACATTTTTGTATCGTTTTTCTATGAACATCAGTTAATCGTGTGTCAGATTGTACCAATTCTGTTTCCATCATAGTTCGCTGCAAATGAAAACCAACACATTTAAAATACACAATACATATTTGTACACATATAGCAATCACTCACTTGTCCGTCTGTCTGTCCATGCGTCCGTCCGGCAACAATAGTGGCACATTTTAAAACCTCTGTCGATAGGATTCCTGTTTTAAGTTATTTCTGTTCAACATCAATACAGAAAACTCCCCTATGACTCCTGGTTCAAAAGCGCGCCTATTTTCAAAATGGCCTCCATTTTTGTCTCGCAAAATTCACTTTTGACCCATTTCCTAGCTTTACAAATAATTTCAAGTGTCCTGCATTGTAAAAATCCATGTCAATGTAAAGAGTAGTTGTATGAAACAATTTTGTTACAAAAAATCAGCAAAAAATTATATCTATTTTTTTATTTTCAGCCATTTTATAGTTAACATTGGTTTGTCCATCTGACTCGCGAAATCCACTTTTCTGTCAACAATAGTGGCATGTTTTAAAACCTCTGTCGATAGGATTCCTGTTTTAAGTTATATTTGTTCACCATCAATACAGAAAACTCCCCTATGACTCCTGGTTCAAAAGCTTGCCTATTTTCAAAATGGCCACCATTTTTGTCACGCAAAATTCACTTTTGACCCATTTCCTAGCTTTACAAATAATTTCAAGTGTCCTGCATTGTTATTATATCCTTTTTTTTTATTTTCAGCCATTTTAGTTAACATTGTTTGTCCATCTGTCTCGCGAAATCCACTTTCGGACATTTTGTCTTAAAACCTCTGTTGATAAGATTCCTGTTTTAAGTTATTTTTGTTCAACATCAATAAAGAAAAACCCCTGTGACCAAAGTTCGTCTATTTTCAAAATGGCCACCATTTTTGTCTCGCGAACTTCACTTTTGGCTCATTTCCTAGCTTTACAAATAATTTCAGGTGTCCTGCATTGTAAAAAGCCATGTCTTTATAAAGAGTAGTTGTATGAAATAATTTTGTTACAAAAAATCAGCATTTTAGTCATCATTCACTTTTGAGTAACACTATGTGAGCCCAGTACCCATGGTACTATTTTTATTTTTTTTCAATTTCAAGTTTTTAAAGTCAAGTGTTATGAAACCAGTATACCTTTGACATATGATGAATTTTGATAGCTATGATAAATAGTTTTGACATGGGGTCTTTTTTGAACCTGTCTTGTTTAAACTTTACTCGGCTTCATAATTCTAAAATGTGAAAATAAATTACGGAACAAAAAATTGTGTTCATGATAAATGTATTTGAGAGATGTTTGAGTACTAAGTATATAAGTTTTATTGAACCAACATATTTAAAACAATAAAATAGATTAGCCTACCTTTCTTAGAAAGCCGAATGCATTGTGCAATGACCTTGTACTGTTGGTCCATGTCAAGTAGCTTTCCAAAAAAATATAACAAGGCATTAACATGACAAAACCTCACCACCTAGTTGCTCACAATATTATTAGTTCAATCTTAAGTTAATTTTGAATTCCTGAGAACTTGTAGATGATTCTGAAAAAAAATTGGTCAATTTAAAGCAAGTTGAAAAAATGAAAAAATACCTTTTTGACCCTGAAAAGGTCATTGAAGGTTAAATCTCAAATCTAAAGTCAGATTTTAACATGAGAACTTGTAGATAATTTTGAAAAAATGGTCAATTTGAAGCAAGTTGAAAAAAGAATGTCATTGATGGTCAAATCTATAGTCAGATTTGAACTTTTGAGAACTTGCAGTTTATACTTAGTTTACATCCAGTAAATAGGTGACCAATTTCACATGCAAATGAACTTATTTACACCTAAGTATACATTCAATTTACATCAAGAACACACTCCTGATTGGTCAGATTTTAAACTAAGTTTACACTTAGTTAACATCTTAATTCACCAATCCAATTGAAGGTCAAATCTATAGTCAGATTTGATCTTTTGAGAACTTGCAGATGATTTCTTGAAAAAATTGGTCAATTTGAAGCAAGGTGAAAAAGACCTTTTTGACTTTTTTTGACATTGAGAAGGTCATTGAAGGTCACGTCTCAAATTTAAAGTCAGATTCGAATTTCTGATAATTGGTAGATGATGTTGAACAAGGTACTAGTAGGTCAATTTGAAGCAAGTTAAAAAATACCTTTATTAACCTTTTTTTTACCTTGAAAAGGTCATTGAATGTCAAATCTTTAATTTAAAGGCAGAATCAGATCTATGTGGGGTTGACAAAATGACTAGCAATGTGTACAATTTACCTCCTAATCTATTCCTTACAGTCTCAAATACAATATCTCCAAAAATATTCATAATACGTTATAAATTAGTGAAGTTATTATAGATTCAAAGTGCAGAAATGGGTGAAAAATGTTTAAATTCTCCCAAATAACCATTCTTATTGAAAAATAATACATTATTGTAAAAATCTTAAGTTTTCCTGAAATAAAGTGTGCACTTTTGATATTTTTAGAAAATAGACAAGCCAAGGAATGACATGGGCCAGAAACATTCTAAAATTGAAACAATTTTTTGTTGGCCTGCTCGCTATATCTGATTCTCTCTTTAAAGTCAGATTTGATATTTTTGAAAATCTCGTAGATGATTTTGAACAAAATTGAAGTCAGTCTAAACAGTATTTGTTAAATTATTGGAAGTTTTAAGAATTTGTTACAGACGCCAAACCACCCACCAATCGCCAAGCACTTTCCACCGATCGCCGCCACAAAAAAACGGAGACCATAACAATATGTCACCACTTTTTGGCCGTGACATAAAAATATAATTTCTATATAATATGCATTTACAAAAAGTGATAAACTGTTGAAAATGTTATTTATGATTTGTTTTTCAATTGGAAATTATTTCATAAAAGTATTATAATAATCAATTATTATTTAACTGGAAATTATTTAATGATTTATTTATTAAAAGTAGCTACTTACATATACAAAGACAATATAAGAACTATGATAAGCAGTAAACTTGAAGGTATAGAAATCAATCCATGAACATCCATCTCCTAAAAGAAAGTCAAAGAATTAAATTGTCTATATCAAATATGCAGATATATATACTCTTATCGATATATATTTTATTGTCTATGTTACGTCTTTGCTGTACCCAATCCATGTATAAAAAACATAATGATAAGATATTCTAATAATATGTAATAACTATGGAATAAACAGAGCAAATAGTCGGGTCAGCCACTAATCAGTTATTTTCCAAAATATTAAACATTTCCCTCCATCCAAAGTCTGGCCAAAGGTACAGCCTTACATGCTTTGATTTGTTCCCTAGAAAGTGGAAGTACATAGACAAATAGACAGGAGATGATCAAATTGATATCCAGGCATATTATGTGTTTGGTACATTGTAAACGTGCTAGACTCACCGAAGCTAAAATCCTGAAAACGTAGATGCCATAGATTTCAGTTGTTAACCTATTACAAGTAAACCATCTTAGCTAAAAATTATCTCTGAGCAATGACTGCTCCACTTTGAATCATACATCGTGATTGAAGGTTATTCATATCCAAAGAGCAATCATTAAAGCACCCAATCCAGTGCACATCTCTATACGTTTATTTCAAAACTACATCCACGGTAGGATTAAGAAGTAGTCAGTAAGTTCCAGATGAGTATGAAGGTCTACCTACTACTAGTATTCCTCTCACATTTCCTAATTTTCCAATGAAGCAATTTAGTGAACTGCAATAGTAGTAACTAGTATTTTAAGCACGAGTATTTTGTGAGTGTACGCCACGAGTGAAAAGAGAAAATATGAGAATGCATTTGAAGCGTTCTGGGACGTTTTAAGGTCAGGGTGTACTTCAGGCCTGTCAACTGTCCCGCAATTTGCGTATTTGTCACGCATTTGCTGAAGAATTTGAAGTCACGCCAGTTTTTTTTGCGTGACAGAAAATGTCACGCAAATACGCATTTTACCTGGTAATTGTCACGCAAAAATATTTCAGTAGAAAATTTTTCAGATTTGTTGTTCGGATTTGTCACGCGGCGAATCCCGTATGTGTCACGCATGTTAATTGGAAAATTTCGTACCTACCCCCCCCCCCCCCCCCCCCCCCCCTCCCGTTGACGATATCGCGAGCGTAGCGAGCGCGAAAAATTGAGGTGTCCAAAATTTGATTAAATGCAATAAAATTGAAAACAAGGTGCTCAAATTGTGGCCAAGATGTTCAGATTTGGACCAAGGTGTCCAAAATTTGAACAAAGGTGTTCAACATTTGCAAGTCACTCATGTTAGGTGTCCCCAAGTTGACAGGCCTGGTACTTTGATCAAATTTCATGACCATGTGCTATTTTCAGATAAACATAACTCATACCACACATCATCTGCTTTCATTCTTGCACAAAATATCCATTCGTGGACCTAGACTATTAAATGAGGGTTGCTAATTCTTCTTGGTTTACTTTTCAAAATTGCAAAAAAAATCCAAAGTGCACTCTGGCCTTAAGCACGGGTATTTTGTGAGTGTACGCCACGAGTGAAAATTTTAAAATGAGAATGCATTTAAAGCGTTCTGGGATGTTTTAAAATACGAAATTCCGACTAATACGGACTAATAAATACAAATTATTGACCATTTTCTATCCAGAAATTAATTACATGAACCCGTTTTTAAATGATGGCATGACAAAATAGGTGCTTCTTGGAAATAAATATACTATAATATTCAGTATTTTCAAAGTGTGGGGCAATTCAATAGAACACTTTTCAAAATTTTGAGAGTATGCCATGCATGTCGCTATGCCAGCACAATGATTGAAATTATATAACAGATCATCAAAGTATGATTCACGAGAAGTATCGCAAAATTCAAATCTCAAAGCAAACACTTCAAAAGCGCAATGGTTATATTGACCAATAAAAAAGTTTAAAAAATAAACTCGAATATGCCATTCACATCGCATATGACAACCCTCAACAATAGCCTACTCTTATTTAACAAATTATCAATGGACTGGCACACCTAAATCTGCAACATACCTCGGGCTCTTGTTTTGTATTTATTCTTTGCATTCGTTCAACTTCACTTCTTAAAAGAGAGCTTCGTCTTTTAGTTAATTCTTAGACTCTGCGCGCAGGCTACTTGTATCGGAGTTTATGTCCACGAAAAAAAACCACAATGCATACTCAAGCTAAACACAGAGTAAAGTTCAGAAAATAAATTTCAACATGAATCTCAATTTCAACCCACAACATTCCTACACCTAAACTGGCTCATAATAAGTAACTTTAGCACATAAAATATCAGTATGCGTACACCCAACAGTCGTCAGCCTCATATCTATCTACACCTTGCACCAACTCCAAAAAAACATTCCCAAAAGAATCAGTGAAATGCCAATACTTTACATCATCAGTATCTATTTTTAACACCACCTTCACTGGTCAGTATCAAGCGAAGGTAACGGTAACTTATATCATTGTTTTTTTCAAATCTTTATCTAAAAACTGCATATAATACTGCATATAAAACAACAACTATGGATATCTGCAATTGCCTGGCAAGTTGAAACTGATTGTCACTGGTGGAGGTCAGGGAGGTCAGCAGTGACCAATCAGATCACTTGTTTATTTACTAATGAACTTGCCAAGCAATTGCAGGTTTTCAGAAATTCTCTCTTTTAGACAGCATTATTCACTCTATATCATCTGACTGAGTTTCAATCTTAGGTAAGAGCTACAAACTATCAATTTTCTATCAACTCCCCATGGCTTTTTGAAAATAATACACTAAATATAGTTGAAATCTCCATCTTAACAAGTGGCCCAAGTCAGAGTTGTTCACCTGTCTCTTCTATACGGCTTACTATTACTTTACCCTTGGCCTATGATAACACGACTAAATCTAATCAGAAGCCATTGTCTAATAAATATATCTTTACTAGTAAACGCGAGGCCTACCTTATTTCAACAAAAAATACAATATGTTGCTGTGTTTTGTTAACCCACGGCCAGATACACGTGGATAGTGAAGAAAATGGAACAATGAAACCCAAGGCCAAGATAACAAGTTTTAATGAAAAATAGGTCATAGAAATAAAAACAAACCTACTTGAAAGACCGTGTCTCGCAAGGAAATACGTCTCGATCGGGATTCCCAATCTTAGTAGGGAATTATTGATTAATTGGCTCTTTCGTCAGAATACCGAACAGTCGAACACGTTTTGTTCCCGGAGATTTATATATAGCCATGGGCTTTCAACTAGACGATAGTATCAACCTTTTCATGAATATTATTTCAATTAATCCCTTCTATTGCTCAACATATATAAACACCAAGAGTGAGTCATCGAAATATTTGTTCTAGTTTCGTTTTGAATCAGGGGTTTTGAATGGAATAACCATGGGCTCTATCAGGTGGTAGAGCCCATGGAATAACCCAAGAGCAATACAGTAGCCGGGACAGAAAAAGTCCCAGGTCTGTATATTTAAATTATATATCTGCTTTAATATGGGCTTACTAGTCTTTTGCAGATTATTGACATAGACATAGACAACATGTGCATGACTCTACGAGGATTGAGTTAAAATGGCCGAACTTACACATTGACCTTAATTGATTTTTTATGATTTCGTTTCATCACTTTGAGTTTGAAATCTAAAATGACAGCTCGAAGTTTGCAAGCAGTTGACTTGGAGAAATCTTTGACGAATACAGTATTGAACCTTGACAAAATTGATCTCAACCTATATAGGTATGTAGAATAGTGTTTCGAGGATGCTGATAGACGAGCTTTCTATAAGTGACGGTGCGTAGATTTAACACAAATGCCATCGAAATGTGAAATGCTTTTACTTCCGGTTCGAAAAAAGTTTACAAAATTACACAGATGTTGGCCAAATTTTAATACAAGTGATAAACTGTAGCAAGTGTCTAAAGGCAGCATTACAGTGCCAATGGTTTCAGACACAGAAACCTAAAGGAAGAAGAAGAAGAAGATTGTTTGTAGTAGGATCATTGCTCAAAGAATAAGGAATATTTATTGAGCTACTGATTCTACTACAAAATAATCTTGCCGGGATCTATGCAAAATTATTTCAAAATCAAGCATATGTCCCTGGGCATACAATCGAGAAGGAGGAACCTCATACTTAAAGATAGCCTTCTTATAGCATAAGATATGTTTCAAAATCCGTTGATCAGTTCTATTCTACAAGGAACCTACTGATAGTATTATTTGATATCATCTTGATATCCATACTCAATTTTCTTATTTTCTCTCTTCAGGGGTACAAATCTATGGAAACCTCTACATTCCCGTGCTGTGTTTGGTGGCCAAGTTGTGGGCCAGGCTCTTGTTGCAGCCACCAAGACAGTAGCTGATAACATGCATGTCCACAGTCTTCATTGCTACTTTGTCAATGCAGGTAGGGTGAACACTAAATAGCAATAACCAGGGAGGTGCGATTGGTGAAAATAATTTAATCTAGCTCAATTTTGAAGGAAGTTGCATCAATTTTTGTAAAATTCAAAACAAATCTTTTTTGGCTCGCTTATACCACAATCACACCCTCGCCTAACTGAAAACAAAAAAATGTTCGGCGATCCCAATCCCCCTGACTGAAAGCTGGCTAGGCCCCTGCTTTATGTCAGTAGAATTATAATTTTAATTTGGAGACATGTTATTTATTTGAATAACTTTACTCAACGTAAATATATTACTTACAATGTACTTATAGTTTGTTATGACAATGATAATCAACGGCCTTTCAGAATATACATGATATAAATATGAAATTGATTGAAATGATATATGCCAATAATTCACTACCACACAAATGAAATTTACGTTTCAGGGGACAATAGAGTACCTATTATACATCATGTAGACCGTGTACGAGATGGCAAGAGTTTCTGCACGAGATCAGTTAAAGCCAATCAGCAGGGAACACCAATTCTGACCATGCAGGTATCATTTCACATAAATGAAAATGGGGGATTTAGTCACCAATATACAATGCCTGATGTTCCAAAACCAGATGATTTGCTCAGTTCAGAGGAATTAACAAGAAAATATTTAGAGTAAGTCAGGGTAACATTTTTTGACATGATTTTGTGACCATGATGGACAAAGATAAACTTACTGCAGTCATGGCAGTTTACATTTTATTAAAGCCTAGGCTTTTTGGCTCATATGGTAAATCTATGAAATCATCCACTCATCCTTTGTAATGAGAACTATATGACAGACACTTTCTTTTTCATACAATATTCAGCATCATTGTGTCTAACAGCTTTAACAAGAATTATGTCACCCCCAACAGTGGTGACATACACTGTACATGTATTTTTAATGGTCTCCAACGTTTTTGTGATGGTGATTGGTGTCCAGCATTCCATAGCTGTTACAAATTGCAGGTGGTGACATTTTGCATGTTAATGTCTTGTTCTTACATGTTTAGGACCGAGGAGTTGTCTGCAAAGCATAGAGCCTATCTTGAAAGTTCACTAGCTGTAGAGGTTCCTATGGAGATGAGACCAGTCAATCCATTCACATTCTATGCTCGAAGGTATGAATGTCAGAATGTAATGTTTTTAATAGACTCTTCTTCCCTGGTCCAAAATTGACAGTTGAGGAAAAAGGGAGTTAGTTTTTTTTTTATTGTTCACCCCTTTCCATATGGCTCACATACTATGAAATTTGAAAATGTTGATTTGCCATTTGACATTCATTTGGAAATCACCAGTCAAACACCATCCCTAACCCCCTGCACTAAAGGGTAGTTGAAATCTACATGGATGTCTAACAAAATGTTGAGTTATTCATTTCAGTAAATTATTATGAAATAAAGCATTCACCATCATATTTCATTAATAAACAGCAGCCACACATTATTCCAGACAATTTACACTGCCTTATTATCCCAAAGAACGAAGTTCTGTAGGGATATAGTGAACCCTGAAGCCCTCAGTCCGTCCATCAGTCAGTCAGTCCGTCCGTCTGTCCGTCTGTCCTGAAGATAACTCAAATACTAGTCGACAGATTTTCTTCATATTTGGTGGAAAGATGTATATTGGTGAACAGTTTTACGCAAAAAAATGTTATGTTTTTCATTTTAAACAAAAATGATAAAAATTATTTGAAATTTTGGTAGTATATTAATAACATCTATCTATTTCACATATATCCCGGGTTTTTCACCCTGACCCCCAGGGGCCGTAAATGGGGGATCGGGAAAACAGGAGTTTGCGTTATTTTTGAGATGTTATTGAAGTATAGGTTTATTATACTCAAATGAAAGGCAATTTAGAGTAGATTTCAAATATTGTAATGTTTTTCTGATTCAGGCCTCAAAAAATACAAAATGGCCGCCTAATGCAGGATTTCGCAATTATTTTCTGATCTCTTAAAAGTATGGCTATATTATACTCAAATTGAAGGAATTTCAGAGCAGATCACAATTATGGCATTGTTTTTCTGATTTACCCCTCTGAAAATTCAAAATGGCTGACTAGAGCAGAAATTCGCTATTACTAAGAGTTATCTTTAAAATATGGTTACATGATACTACAATGATTTGAAATATTTATTGAAGGTAAGAGACTAAGAGTAGATGGTAAATATTACATTGTGACTGTACAGATTGATGAGTTATACAGTGTTCGTTGGGATTTGCTACTCCCTGGAGTTGCCATACTCTAGTTTATATGGAATCATTGCTTATGTTGCAGAATTGGCACTACAGTAGCACATGAACCTAAGCAAATGATATGGATTCGAGCATCTGGTCACTTGGGTATGTAACAGTGTTAAATATTGACAGGTTTCAAATATTAGAATTTCACGTCAAAAACATGTCATAATTGCTATCTTTGCCTGAATTGCATATTCCAATCTTAAGATTATAAAATAAGATAACAAAAATATAGCGTGTGGTATTTGATTAAATTAAAACCTCACAATGTGCTGAATTTCATGATATTTCCTAAAATTGGAATGGTAATCCAAGTTCATGATAATGGAATAACCAGATATGATATTGGTTACTTATAATGTGACGATGCGTATATGATATATTTCACGACAGTGATATAATATCATGAGACTATGCTTGTGGAATAACTTAATCAAAATTGTATATTTCATGATATTGGAATCATGACATTAAATTTCAACTCATTTCATGATAGTGGAATGATGACATCATAATACACTGAATTTCATGATAGTGGAATAACAGCATAATACACCTCATTCATGATAGTGGAATGATGACAGCATAATACACCTCATTTATGATAGTGGAATGATGACATCAAAATACATCAAAATACACTGAATTTCATGATAGTGGAATAACCTCTTTCTATATATATTTCAGATGATGACCCAGCAGAGATGCACATGAACCTTCACAGATGTCTCGCTGCTTATATCTCAGATTTCTCCCTCTTGGGTACAGCCACTCTACCTCATCCAGACTTTAGATGGGGTATGGGGGCCTCTTTGGACCATTCCATGTGGTTTCACACCCCTTTTAGAGCAGATGAGTGGATGCTCTATGAGTGTGAGAGCCCTCAAGCAGGTAGGTCCATTTTAAAAATAAAGGTATAAGCGATAAGCTTTTTAAAATAGATAATGTTTATGTCACCACATATTATTTACGTCTCCAACTTTTTTTTGTTCTGCATTTGGCATCTGTAGCAATGGCAGGTGGTGAGATTTTGCATGTTTATGCCTTGTTTCAAAATGTTTGTATCTGGTGCTTAATTTTGTATGTCTATCCTTATATCCTTATCACCCCAAGTGTTCTCGCATCTTCTATTCATATTAGACAGGTGGTATGAATAAATTGAGTATTGATGATTTTATTTGCAATTTTCTTCATGTAAGTTCTTCTATAATTTCAATAGAGAACTACAACACGTCAAAGTGAATTTAGACACATTTTTAAACCTCTATAGTCTACAGATTAAAGATTAGTATCAGTACTGAGTAGTGCAAAAATGTTTTTGCAATATGTTTTTAAGGTTCATACTTTACACGAGGCCTTTAAACATTTTGCTTTATACACTTCCAGGTGGCAACAGAGCCTTAGTATGTGGACGTCTTTGGAAGCAGGATGGTACACTTGCAGTAACTGTAACACAGGAGGGACTCTTACGGCCATATGTGCCACAAGACAAATCAAAACTTTAAAAGTTCTACAAGTGGATTTAGCATACAGCTGAAGCAGTGCAGTAATATTAGCAATACATGTGTGTGTAAAGAGTTCATCTACCTCCGCATGGACTTTTACATGTGATAGGCCTGTCTGCAGTAAGGACCAATGTGATGGATAAATCGCCACCCTGAAATTAATTTATATACAATTTTTGTGATTTCGGGTCATTCATTTTCCGTGAAAAATAAAGATTTGCTTTATAGGAAAACTCCCTTCAAATTGGCCTTTAACTGGACACCATACTAGTATTTGGGCACAACGTCATTTGTGGCACAACCTTATATGGTAAATTATCATAATATATTTTCTAGTTAGGTTGAGAGGAAAGGCTGAGAAACAGAATGAGAGAATGGATCAACAATCCGAAAGGGATGAGGTTAACAATAGTTATTGTTCACCCTCCCCTAGATCTACATTAATTTGTACTACAACGTCATTTCTTTCATCCACAAAAATTGACATTTCTAATGAAAGTTACCCCTGTTACTGTCTCATCATATGACACTATGTATTATATAGGATGAATATGACACACATATAATATGAATATGACCAGATATAATATGAATATGACACGCATATAATATGAATATGACCAGATATAATATGAATATGACACGCATATAATATGAATATGACACGCATATAATATGAATATGACCAGATATAATATGAATATGACACGCATATAATATGAATATGACACGCATATAATATGAATATGACACATATAATATGAATATGACACGCATATAATATGAATATGACCAGATATAATATGAATATGACACGCATATAATATGAATATGACACGCATATAATATGAATATGACCAGATATAATATGAATATGACACGCATATAATATGAATATGACCAGATATAATATGAATATGACACGCATATAATATGAATATGACACACATATAATATGAATATGACCAGATATAATATGAATATGACACGCATATAATATAAATATGACACGCATATAATATGAATATGACACATATAATATGAATATGACACGCATATAATATGAATATGACACGCATATAATATGAATATGACACACATACAATATGATGGAATGTTGTTGCATTATTTATTTCTATTTTTAATTATTTGTAATCTGTAATATTTTTATTTTGTAATAAAATAAAGACAAATTACGATAAGTAAAGAATTGCATTCAATAATTTTTTATTTTATACACAGCCAGTAGAATAAAGATTCATTTATTAGTGTTCATTGTCACAGACTTTATTAAATTTTCACTTTTTTTTATTAAACAAAAAATTGTAATAAAGTCTGTGACAATGAACACTAATAAATGGATTTAATATTACCAGACTTAAACTTATTTAATGTAATTAGATGTTACCATCGTTTTTTTGAATATTAGACTACGGCCCACTCTGATAATTATAACTCCTTCCTTACATGAAAGGTTACACATTCCAACCTATTTCAAACCATCTGTATGATTATACTAGACACTTTCTGGGTAGTTGGACTTTCTATAGGGGTGGCAGATGGCCCTCAGACCAATTTATACCCCTACCCCCAAAAAACCATGGGGGTACTTTAATACCACCCAATAAAAAGAATACTAATGCATGTCAGATATTCATTGTTTTATTTTGGGTAGAGCATGTTATGGTTAGTAAGAGCCAGAAATTTCCAATCTCTAACTGATATGATTACAATAGAAACAGTATTTATATCTTGAAATATTCTCAATTTGACCCCCTCCCAAATGTGTCCTTTTAATCTCAAAGTGAAATATTTGCAAATCTGTTTGGATTTTATGGCTCCTACTTTGTCAAAAATTATATCAATATGTATATTTTAACATTTAAACACTGAAAAGTGTTCATAATGATCCTATAAATCAATAACATTTATCAAATATAGTCACACATAGCTGCTTTTAGGGAAAAGTGGGCGTGGCACTTTTTGGTACTTGTGTACTTGTTGCAGCATTAAATGAAAAATACATATTATACTAACAACAATTGACATTTAATTAGCATCTACTTATGTTATGTAACATTGTAATATGTTCATTATCATTATTAGACACTTTAAATATTTTATATCAGTGTTATCCTGACCCTTCCCTTTATCCCTACACCCTTCAAGGTGGGCATTACCAATCGTGTCAAGTTAACATTTCTGTTTGATTTATTTTTACCATAGACAAGGTACAAAAGCTTTACCATGAGTACTGACCTTATTAGGTGCTAAACTGATGAATGGATAGGTAGATGGCAGCACTTGTGCTGGTTGGACTACACGCTAGCATCTACCATAGACACATATTGATTTACCATATTTGTTATTTTGGATTAAAGTAAAACTGCTTTCGCATCAAAATCAATGAGATTCAGATTGTGTTTGAAACTAGATGATCTACAGATTTTGTGTGAACCTTAAATTCATGACAATCAAAAGAATTCAACATTTAGGAAGTCAACATTAAGATTTTTAACATCATCTCAATGAGAATTTAGCCCGACCTTTTTCAGAAAGTTAAAGATCATAGAAAATTGAACATAATCAAAGTTCCTCAGTAGATCATTTAATCTCCTAAAATCACATTAAAACTATATCAGCAATATTTCCAAGCTAAATAGTATAAAAACTTCTATCACATCATTTGCAACGTTTTCATTATTCGATAGTTCAACCCTATATGAATTATTGATGATTTTAAAAGTGCAAGGAATCTAAATGAATCAGGGAAGCCAGTGATATGTATTTGCCTTATTAATTGTTGACTTATACAATGAAATAGACCTAGATGCAAGTAGAAATAATCTTGCTTTACATCATTCAAAATTCAAAATTCTGTCAAATAAGTGATATCATATTTGAAATCTTCATGTAGAATTACATTTCTTCATGCAATAAGTTAACCTTTTAGTGAGTAGTTGTGACAAATGTAATCATGTACTTACACAATTTGTCAGTAAAAGTTATTTATCCTAAACTTAGTGTTATAGGTAAATAAAATGCATGAATATAATTGATACCTTAGGTGAGTCGGGATATACATGTACTGCATATCCTGCTTTATCCCATACTTGGTCGTGTTTCAGGTACATAAAGCAGGTTTGTAAAAACTTATATTTTCATCATCGGGCAGATATAGCTTTACGTCCCGTTGCGAGCTGGCAGATATAGTATATCTGCCCACTCCGTCATAATCGCCCTCGGGCAGGTATATTATATTTGCCTCGGGATAGTCTCAATATCCTGAACCTCATATAGGATAATCTCTATGTATCGCCAGGTTTATCACCCGCTCAGTAATCCCCTGCAGGAATTTCATTCTGTGCAATTTATCATATTTTAGTATATGATAAATAATTTTGGGTACAAGGTATAACCCTTGGGAAATACAATATTCTACCCTCAACCCCTCGGGGAGGTATATTGTATTTCCCTCAGATATATTGTATTTCCCTGTATTAAAAACTTTCCATTAATTAAACCTCATATATAATGCACACGATTTTAAATATGAATCAAAACTATGAATTAGTGATATCCATGTTTCTAACGAAAGCATGAATTTGAAAAAAACAAACATTCTACTCATATGGTATAAAGATATTACCAGTTGTGTCCATTTTAGATTTGATTGAAGAACTTGAATTAGAGGCAATTTTGAAATTACAATATATTAAAAGAGGCTCTGTTGCTTAGATGGGAGAATCAATTAGCTGCATTGTTCAGTTTATGACAAAACTGATGTTTAGTGTTACTTTCATGAACACCCATCCTGTAAAATAGCATTTGGAATCTAGTAGTTTGTATATAGATGAATTAGATAAGGCATTGTCGAGGGAAAATATCTAACAAGATCCAACTTAGAGTTTGCTTTTTCTTACTAAGTTCCATTACAACTTTTGGTCCTTTCCCTTTGGCACTAGTGCTTATATATTTACTAGTTTGCTCATGTAATTAGGCATACTTTAACTTGAAACAATTTGTAACACTCAATTTTTGGGGTTTGGAGATCGAAGAAATAATGATGATAAACAAGCAATTTTAAAATATTTATGTTTTACCCAAATTTTTAAAGATTTTTGTTAGCCTTCGTTTTGTCTGTTTTATTCTCAAATAAATCATGGTCATCAATTCTATTGTGACATAATCATCATTTACCAATTTTAAAATCAAATATTACTAGTTAGAGAATGTGATTTCTTACTTTAGGTTATATTTATATCCCGATTTATATGTATAATAATAATTGATGAAGACGAATAGAGATTATCCTCTATGAGGTTCAGGGTATTGGAATTATCCCGAGGCCAATATAATATATCTGGCCTAGGGTCGTTGGTCCCGAGGGAAGATATTTTCTATTGGCCAAAGGCCTTAGGTCCTGAGGGAAGATATATTATATTCGCCAAGGGATAATCCTAATAGCATGAACTGACTATAGGATGATCTGTTTATCCCATATCAATCTTTCTTATCTGGTTCACATTGTTCAATTGGCCAGAGTTAGAAAAAATTCAACCATATGAATGTATTCATGTCTAATTTTGTTTTCTTGGCCTTAGGAGGATTCTCCTGTTTTTTAAGTATTCATCCACATATTCTGGAATCATTGATTATTAACATATGTATTAAGTATGCTACTTCCCTCATCGCTAATCATACACAAATGATGATTATGACTTAGTGGCCAGGTGTAATATATCTGCCCTCTCAGGCCGGGACATTAGCTATATCTGCCCACTGATAAAAATACAAGTATTTATAAACCTGCTATATGTATCTGAAACATGTCCAAGTATGGGACAAATGTATCTACTTTTTTGATTTCATACACTAAACAGATTTGTTTAGGAATTATTTGAAGTATTTCAAAAACATATACCGAACCACTATTGAAGGAATCATTGAAAATACAGCATATCAGAAACATGTGTAAATTGTTTATCTTGCAATTATTTTGCTAAATACTAATAGAAATTATACTGTACCTTCCAGAGAATAGCTTTTTTGTTAACTATGAGCCAATGAATGAATGGATGCATTTTATTATAACTGCAAAATGATGCTCTATGCAATTCATACGAAAAATTAATTTTGCCATATTAGAATCAAGTATAATCTTTAATCCATTGGATAGATCATGCATTGCCTGATTTTGAGGTATTGATAAAAGAATCAGCAAGTGTCTGACAAAATAGATTTTAGTGTTATGTATTAGGCAAAATATTAGGAAGGGTATAAATGGTCTCCAATCTTTCTAGTTTTGAGTATTACGTCTTCTTGCTTTGATTCAAACTATCCTCGGTCACTATTTGTAACCCCTCCCTCCTTCCCCATTTAGGCCATGGATATGAAGATGATTTAGAGGTTATGTGAAGGATACTAGGGAAGGGTTAATAGCCATAGTTATATTAGTTCATTTAAGTTTAATCATAAATGTTATGCAATTCACACTAGCATCAAATATCATACCAAAAGGATTGAACTGTTCATTACTTTTCAATTGCAGTAAACATG